TGTGTAAAGTGTCCATCAGTATTAACTAATCACATTCATACATCTTTATGTGCAGCTGACAAAGCAGCTTTTAAGTGTCTTGACCAAGGACACATTGACATATGGCTGCAGGAGCAGGGGATCAAACCCTCGACGACAACCCTACCAACTTAGCTGCAGTCACCCTATTAATCTTTCACCTCCATCAGCCACAAACTGAGGTGTATATGATCTAAAAATCATCACAAACGGGAGGTAGATCTGCACAGTAATCACTTTAAGTCCTGTTAGAGATTTTCTTTTATCTGTATACTTCTATTGAAGTGACCGACTTCTTACCAATGTCTGAAAACAAAAAATCTAAAAAACTTGCTCAGGGCGGTGGTTATCTTTGGTGTCTGCGTTTGAAAATCCTTTTTATTGAGGTTAGAAAGTCTGATTTGTATCTATACTTGTTCCCCCCTCCAAAAATAAGACTGTATTTAACTGAAGTTGAGCTTTCTGCTCTCCTATGTGAACCGCAGTCTTCGGTAATTGCATCTCATGGGATTCTGGCTTCATTTGTCGTCCAGCGGAGAGGCAGAATCTCCGGCTGAATACATAAAAGAAATTGGGGTGAAAAAAAAAAGCTGACATTTTTCACTTTTTATACACTGTGCACTCAATTCAACAAATCCTTCAGATCAATAATTGAAACAAGCACTAAAGGCTTTGTGTTTTTCAGTCTGTTGTTACTGTTTTATTTCATCATGCATCAGGAAAGAAGAGACCTTCAGTTCGCTGAGTCGGCTTTAAAAGTGTGTCCAAACATCGCGGTCATCTGTTTGCTGAGTAATTAGCACAAGCTTGCATAGATAATGGTCAAAAGACAAAAAGAGGGAAGCAGTGAGTCTCTGAGCCGCCTTGTGATGAGGAACAATATCCCTCCTCCTCCTCCTCCCCCTCCCCCTCCACTGGGTCAATCTCCTTAAGATATGATAGTCCAAATTTGCATATTAATTTTCCTTGACGCTGTTCTGTGTGGCACAAACTGATAAGAAGCGTCTTGGTGACTGGCTGTGCGTCCAACACAGTGTGACTCGAGGAGATAGCAAAAAAAATTATAAAAAATCAGTGTGCACAGCTGTGATTCTTCCGCCGGCCATAACGCTGTAACTAAAATAACACTTCCTGCCTCTATCCAAAATACAGCGCATGATCTTGTTCATCATATCAAGCCCATTGAGATCGTTCTCTGTTCATTTTTTTAAACTATAGGTTGTCTCTCTGTTGTCTCACACACAAGTGGAGCATCAGTGTGTAAAACGATCCAGAAGATAACAGGATCTATGGAAGTTATCAGAGTCAGCACAGCTACAGGGACGGGAAGAGATTTCCTCCTGCTTCAAAATGAAAGATTAGCTTTGAAATTGCACAATTTTATCGTGCCTTTTTTTTTGCTTCCAAAAAGATGGCGGTTTCAAATATAGCTCTCCAAGTTTGAATTACAATGTTTACAAAAGGGATTTTTCGATGGAGAAAATTGAGGTATTGAATTTGAACCTGCTTGTTTGACTTAAGGATTACAGTAACAAGGAGACAGCAACAGTGCTGTGCTTTCACATTTATTAAAGCAGCACAGCTCCATATTTCTTTGTGCACACCTCTAATCGTATTTTTGTAGTTTTGATCATAATCCAATCGTTGATGACAACTTTGTACTAAATAAAGTACAATGTCATTCCCCCACTTTCTCTCTCCCCAATTCCTGACTTTACCCACGGTCTCTCTCTCTAAATAATGGCATTAAATGATTAATATGATGATAAACTTCTCTTTGGAAGGTTTGTAATAATACAAATGACATTTCATTTCTGGAATATTGATAACATAATCTATATGTAGTTTCATCGTCAGAGTTTGAAGACTCAATGGAGGGGTGTGACGAGATCTCACAACATTAAAACGTGATGATGATATTTCATGGAGCTGCAGCCATCATGACTTAGCCTGATGTTGAACTTGAAATTACCATTGAAGGTGCGCCCTCCACTTTTAAATCGTTCTAAATCACATCTGACCCGTGATCAGTTCGTATCACCCCCGTAATAAGTGATAAGAAATCCAGTAATCTAATCTAATAATTATATTTTAAGAATCATGATTTTTAAATGATGTTAAAAATTCACAGTTTGAGTCATGGTTAGCTGAATTTTTTTTAATATGCAGATTCCAAAAAAGTGTTTCATCTTGTGGGTTGAGTGAATCGTCACACCTCTTCTCTACAGGCTCTAAGTTTTGAAAGGATTTACATCACGCTCTTTTTAACAATGTCTGAACAGGGAGCAGTTAAATATCTGAGCTTTTAAAACGTCCTTAAGCAGGGCCATACTCATTGTCAACAAAACATGAATAGAAATCTGGAGTTGTGAGCAAAAGACAAAGTGCACAGGAAGCGGACACGTCTCAACGGCAGATTAATGAGACCCTAACAGAATTAGAATTTGAATATCAATGCAGGCCTGCTGCTTAACTGACATTAATTGCCACCTATTAGATGAGCTCTACACCCCTGTATTTTAAAAACAATCACCGCCATCGGGACATTAGAAAACAGAAGAGTGGGAGGTGGAATGAGTGCTTAAGGCTTCATTTTGTCAGCTGGTGCCGTGTAAGTCTCACAAAGAGAGAGAGAGAGCGAGAGAGAGAGCGAGAGAGAGAAATAAAGAAAAAAATGAAAAGCCAAAAAAGAAAACTACTCTCCAACTAGAAGATGCAAAGTTAACTGCAGCTTACATAGATAGAGATTTTGTAAATTAAAATGAAACATCTTATGATTAACATAATGACAACCTTCTTACACTTCCTAAATGATCTGTGCTTGGCAACACAGGTCCGACTTTACGCTATGACCAACCAGCGCAGTCGAGCCAGCACACGGCTAGCGAGAAAATCTGCTAACAGCCGCATGATGTTTGTGAAGATGGCTGAAAAGTTGACGCTTGCTTTTGGTTTGAGGATATTGTTTCATGAGCTGTTATAAATGGTTCAGATCAATTTGTTGTCTTTGCACTAGAGGTGCAGCAGTTGACCGGGTGCTGACCTGAGTCTGACGATTTCCAGCTTGTTTGTGCTGTGATTGGGGAACCGGCCCGTCCTCTCAAATTTAACAGATTCTATGCTGATCACACGTTCACACTCAAGAGCTGAGAGTTTCATGCAATCACTAACCAGACACACACACACACACACACACACACACACAGACACAAGTGCACATTGCCCGCTACCTCTGCCCCTTCTGCTCGTCTGTGACAAAAACTCCTCGTGTTGAAAAATGAATTTAAACAAAACTAACATCAAGCTTCCTCCTCACGCGTCATCACGGGTGAAACAAATGAAATCTGAAGTTGTGGTTTTAAGGGGCGCTGCACCATATAAAGAGGCTGCAGTCCTCAGTGCAGCGGCTGTGGGTTCGAATTCCACTTCGGCCCTTTGCTGAATGTCGTCCCCCAACTCTCTACCCGCAACATTTCCTTTCTCTCTTCAGCTGTCCTCTCTCATTGAGGCAAATTGGCCCAAAAAATATTTTAAAAAAGGTGTTTCAAATAAAAAAAACTTGCTTATGAACTGAGTAACCAGACACAGACTGTGATGACGGGATAGAAAGAGGAAGGGCAGGCTGTGTGTGTGTGTGTGTGTGTGTGTGTGTGTGTGTGTGTGTGTGTGTGTGTGCATCTGGGTGTCATCAAGCTGTGCCCTCATTTCTCCCCTGACCAAACACAGCTGGTGAAAATCTTTTAATGGAGGTCGGACTTTGGCTCATTGAAAAAAAAATCTAACAGAGAATTCTTGAAAAATGTGAAACTTTACCGCAGAAATAATAAATGAAATGGAAAAAGAACGGATCATTAATTGTGTTAATTTTATGTTAAGCGGCGGTAATTGTCTCGCTATAATTGTCTTACTCAGGTGAAAGGGTTAGCTTAATAAAATGATGTCCTTGGTTTGATTCTTACTCTTCAGAATTGAATAACAATATGTCACGATGTAACAGAGGGCAGCGGGTTAATTAACAACTTTAACTTTCAATGTTGCTACTTTCTCTTTTTACGCTCGTATTGTTTGACTTTTCAAAACAGTTGATAGCAAAGCTAAGAATAAAAAAAAGTTTGACATGACCACTGCCAAGGACACACTACTTCCTGCCCGACGCCCATCGGACTGTGTCGTCCCCACAACCACCGCCGTCCTCATTCATGCACGACCTGCTCCGACCTCCACCTCAGCGGAAAGGAACGCGAGGAATACAAAGGAGAAATCCTTCCTGCATGTTATCCCATATGCTCTTTTTGTAAAGCGTCTCGAGATAACACTTTTTATAAATTGACGCTATACAAATAACGATTGATTGGTGTTGATAATGATGCAAGACGGGCCACCAAAATCACGAGTTATAATCCTCTGGGTACCATGAACAGGACGATAAAGACAATAGATGTCGAGATAGAAGCTTGCAGAGACGGAGCATCCGACCAGCCGACCTCAACACCATCAGGCTTCACTGTTAGAGGGGGGAGAAGTCAGTCCTGAATATCTTTGACAATAAACACTGAAAATAGAACGGGTGTTTCATTTGTCTCCTCCTTGTCTCACTCTTCTTATTTTCCTCTCGACTTTATCTCCCCCTTTCCTCTAGCCCTGTCTCTCTTTCTTCCAGAGTAATTGATACGATATGAACACTGGCAAGTGTAATCTTCTTTTAATTAAGACCCGCTGCTGGCACTGCCTTCACACTGATAGTGACTTACGACTCTTCCTCCCATTTTTCTCCCCCCCCCTCCTCTTCTATCATCTTGTTATTCCTCTGTTGCTCCTCCAACTTTGTCTCCCTCATATTTCTATTTGTTATCTCAACACTCAAACCCTCTCCTCTCACCTTTTACTTCCTGCCCTTCTTCTTATCATCCACTCTGTCTAACTCGATCATCCTTTTTTTTTTTCTTCTTCTTCTTCTGTCGATTCTGTCTCTTTCACTGCAGTCCCACCACCACGAAGAGGAAAAGAGAGCCCTCAGCCGGGAAATCATCGTCCTCAACAACCACCTCATGGAGGCCAAGATCACCATTAATAAACTCAGAGAGGACAATGTGAGTGTCCAGGGATGAAACCCGAAACTCAGACTCCCACTGAAACCTCTAGCGGCACTGCACACATATCCTCTAAGTCATGAGACTCCACTTGGGCAATTATAATCGCCCTTCAGGCCAACAAAATAAGCAATAGCCTGGGGGGGGGTTCATGACCACAGAGATCCAGGACCGCGGGGCGTCTGCTTTCCTCAGCTGGTCAGTAATCCATCCTTGTTAGCACCGAAAAACAACAGTTGGCTTGAGAAACTGAAATGATAACACTTCAGAAAGCTGTGTATTTTTCTGGAGAAAACACTTTTCAGTCATATTGGCAGTGAACAAAGTATTGCTTAAGTCTCACATCCGATGTGTTTCGAAATAAGTCCTGGATATTTGTGCTTCGAGGAGCCACAGCAGATAAAGGATTTAACTTTGAGCCACGGGGTGTTCCTTGGTGATTATACTGGAATCAATGGGCGTCCTTATGCCGGTCAGAACTCGGAGCCAGGGCTGCGTTTGTTCTGAGCTCAGGGCATGTGGCAATTCATTTTCTTTGAAGTGATTTTGAACTGCAGGACAGGGTTAGGTAAGATCTTCTCTCCCAGGTCAATGGTAGTTTTCAGCACCTCTGAGCTATAGGGTATTTTCAGAATCCCCTGATCCCCCCCCCCCACAAGATCCAGCCAGGCTGATTGGAGTCAAGGTTCATTTTGAGTGGGAAGAGAATTCATCCCCATCGGAGTCAGCAGCCAGGCAGACACTTCCTCCAGGGGTGGAAAGCTTTGAATGTACTGCCTATCACACTGGAACAAGTAAATAAATAAGCTTTCAAATATGTCACATCCTGCTGGGAAAACAACTCCATTTATACTGCATACAATACATTCTATTTGTATTAGTCTTAAATGGTACAACCATTCAGTCAGCAGTAGGTTATAACAAGTGGACTGCTGAAAGAGAGAAGACACAGAGCATGGCGCGACAGGGCAAAAAATTGCTTGGAAACAACATAAAATACACAACCAATCAGAGAACGATTAAGATGTGGATGACCCCAAACACACCAAATGATCACAAAGAGATGCAGCAGCAAATTTAGAGACCTTAACCCTCAGGCATCAGTTTAATTTACTACCCTCTTAAGTCACAAAGGACAAAAATGTCCACTTCCAAAAAACTGCTATAAAAATAGAACAGATTGATATTTTTTTTCTGCATACATCTCTTAAACAACTTCAGCCCTGCTCAAAACTACCAAACATTTTTAGGAATTTACCATTTAAATGCCAGTTTGATTACTTTATGTCACTGTTGTTATTTATGAAAAAAAAAAAAAACACAAAGATGTGTTATTTTACATATAACAAATATTTGGTGGTTGGGAGACTTTTTTTAAATCAGTCTTGGATATTTCAAAGATTATCCAAAATATTGACTTTGATGCATTTGTAGTTTTTGTGTAGCATCAGATTTAAAGTGTAGTTCCCTGTTTGCACATTGGAGGGCGGAAATGTTCAATTTACAAAAACTGCTATATTAATAGAACAGATTAATATTTTTTTCTACTTTTTTTTGCATAAATCTCTTAAACAACTTCATCCCTGCTCAAAATTACCAAATATTGAATAATTATCAGGAATCATATAATCAAACTGGCATTTAAAGGGTTAAATTCCTGATATTTATTCAATATTTGATAGTTTTGAGCAGGGCTGGAGTTGTTTAAGTAGAAAAAAATATAAATCTGTTCTATAAATAAAAAAAAATACAATTTGCATTCAAAAATGTGTCAAGAGAGAGACTTTCTTACAAAAATGTGCGCCATATGCACTAACACAGCCAAAATGATGGCCAGATAAAGAGAAAACTTTTGCCCAAATGGACAAAAATGTCCATGGTGGAGCATGAGGGTTAATGTACTTCAGAAAGGCAAGAAGACTTCAAACTGGAGGAAAATGAACCACATACAGACACAAAACCAAAAAGGAGCACAGAAATAGACTAAAGAAACATGCCAAATAACTGCCAGGTTTATGTTTAGCCCGAAGAAAGACATTATATTCACTAAGCTAGACACAAGACAAAAACCACAATATAATAAGAACAGTAGACCCGACATGCCACCATTCATCTTCTAACAATACCAGGAGACACACACTGCACGATGCATATAAACTAAGACATCACACCAAGGTCTTAAAGGTCTATTTAAAGTGCCCTGAAAACTACAGTAGCCCAAAATGTCCCCCGGGCGACATGACAAGAAGACATAAGAGTGATTCAGAAAGCCGTCACCATTCACTCTGAAGTGTCAAAAAGAAGCCTTTGATGTGAGGGGAAGCGTTGTCAGGGCTGGGGGTGCGATAGGGAGAGGCACAGGGAGGATACAGAGCATTGAGAGCTGACCTTTAAAAAGTGGATGGATTTCAGAGAGGAGAGGAAGGAAAGGGAAGCCGGCTCAACCAGCTTTTACCGCCCACACACGTGCAATTGAGGAACACACAGAAAAACAATTAAAATGTCCATCTGCTGCGGCAGTAGGCGAACATTTCATTCTGCTCTGAAATTTAAGGGGGAAAAAAAACAACATTCATTATAGAAGGAAAAGCACACAGAAAGATAGAATAATGCTGCAAAAACGTCCCTGAGCTGGACGGTGTAGATAACTAAATGCACAGTTTCAGACATGTTTCAGACTTTACTGGGCAGAAAGGAGATACATTACATATGAGAACGTGTATGTCCACCCAATAAAATAGAACTGCAAAGGTGAGAGATACATGCTAATTTATTCAGGGAAGGATGTGCGACCTTTTGACTTTTTTCAGTAGATGTCGCCCTTGAGCACCGGCATGAAACCAAAACAAACTGCGATCTAGACATCAAAATAAGCAGTGAGTATGTTATTTTTCTTTTCTCTAGTCCTTGACTAGGCCGTCACGTCCATGTAAACATGATGTAAACACAGCTCTAACAACAACACAGTCAGCGGGACTCGTGCTTCTCACTCATTGTGGATAGTCATGACTCAGAGAGACATTTACAGAGGACATACTGGATGTTTAAAATGTCGCACATTCTTCCTTTAAGGTCTACCGACATCTATTGATGAACTCATTCCTGAGACTTGACAGGTCACTAAATCAGTGAAAGGCCTTATCCAATGGGCTACTCCCAAGTTTCCAATGCAGTAGGTCAGATATTTTACCCCAATCATCCAGGACTTTCCAATCAATGGCTTTCCCATTACGGGTAATACTTGTATAAATACCTCTCAATGATAAATGGACACATTTGAGATTTGTTGTTGATGTAGTACCACACTAACATTGCATTTATTATGTAATACTGTGTAATTATCCCCCCCCCACCCCCGAAGTCCCCCATAATTAAAAAATAATTACCCAACAATTTGAAAGCTGACATCTAAAGTGTGACAGATTTTCTCAGAGGCGTTGGAACACAATCCCCCCCGGTCAAACGCTTAGCGAAGTCATCAGCCCGCCAACATGAAACGACTTTTTATGGTGTGAATGATGTGTTTGAGGATATTTCTTTCTGCCTCTTACAGGACCTGTACAGGAAAGACTGCAACCTGGCAGCCCAGCTGCTGCAATGCTCCAAGTCTCACTACAGAGCACACAAGATGTCTGAGGTGAGCTCCCCAACACTGCTGCTACAACGGCAACAATGGTTCAATTTCTATCTGTGCTGCAGCGTATATATAGGGTTTAGTGACCTGGGCTTCAAAATAAGGTGACAGGGAAAAGACTAGAAATGCCATTATTTTGTTAAACTTTAGAAAAAATGTAGAATTTTTTATTTTACTTTTTCCAAAAATAATATGAGAGAGGCAATGGACACTGAGATAGTTTACATTGAGGTTTGATTCCATCATGTTTAGTCTAGAATTAATCAAATTTGTGTACTTTTTTGTACAAAGTACCAACAAAAACATGTGAATAAAGAGTGCGAGTGGCCATATTGTACCTTTCTTTCTGGAATTAAAATGATCTTCCTTTTGTAAATCTGACATTAGAAAATGTAACCGATATATATCCCATTTAAGAATACATAACAACTAAGAAACTTTCAAGGCATTTCAAATCCAGTTTTAATTGTTCAGTTTTTCGTCACTAGAATTTATATTACTGTAGAAAAGTATTTTGTAAGAATTGTGGTAAGAAATATATTTCTACCAAAATCTTACCAAACTGTGAGTTCAGAATCAAAAAAACACATGTAATACAAAGTGAATACAAAGTGGTGTGGTTTGGCAAACGTCCTCGGTTATGCTCGATGGATATTCATCATCCTCTCTTAAAGTTTACTTACATGTTGAGTGTACAAATGAACTATTCTCGTCGTGTTATTGCTGCGATGGAGAGCGGCTCCCCACATTGTGTCTGTGTAACACTGAAAAGCCTTGGTGAGTGGTTTTCCCAATAAGAGGGACTCACAGTGCTCATGGCCTTTTCAGTCAGATTAATGAAGGTCTGCTGTCTGAAGTGCCATCTGTCTGTATCCTGGCGGTGCATAATGCATGAATGAATGAATGAAAACCTGGTTTGAGACAACACCTGATGCACACAGGAAGAAAAGTTCTCCCAACTCATTTGTGATGAAGAAACAATTATTGGATAACGTTAAGGCTGAGGAAATAGTCAAATTCAAAAGAAGACAATGTTGATTAAAAACGATTAAAAAAAAGACCCATGGTTGTTCAACCCAGCAACATTGGTTTTGAGTTTACCAATACATACTGCTATGCTAACATTTTAGCACTTTAAAACTAAAACTACTAAGCAAAACAATTATACTCTTTAAAGGTCCCATATTCTGCTTTTTCTCGTTTTATATGCCTTCAGTGTGTTTTCCAAGTGTCCTGTGCATGTTTAGGCACATCTATGTGCAAAAATTCAAAGTCTGCAGAAACGCGGCTTCTCCTACCTCCTCCTGTTAGCTGTAGCATTAGACGCATGTAACGCTCGGTTCTAGCCCCCATCGATAAAAACTTGTCAGTGTGACGTCATTGTCAGTGTGAGATCACTGATCTAAGCCCGTTGGCTCGTTGTGGCCCTGCAGCTCATGCTGAGATTTCAACTGACCAATAACGACAGAGCGGATCGGCAGACCAATCAGAGCAGACTTGGCCACGTGGGGTCTAACAGTGTGGGCTCAACAGAGTGCAGCTGACGGACTCAGAGCATAGAGGGAGCAAGGAGTTCATGAAAACAGACACTTTTTTCGGACTTTATCTATTGTGAGCGTACAAAAGTAGGAACATAGATTAAATATACGAACCCCAAAAAGGGCATAATGTGGACTCTTTAACTTTATCAATCATCAACTGGTTGAGAAATTCCTCCAAAGACAATCATTTGTAGCTTCAGCCTGAGATCAGTGGTTCCCAATCATTTTTACTTGGAGCCCCTCCCTATGTAAAAAAAGAAGTGGAGACCCCCCCAAGGACCCACTTGGAAAAAAAGGGATAAATTGCCGTCAAAGCATAAAATCAACAATAATTGTTTTCATTGATTAAATTCCACCAGATTAGGCCTACAGACTTGTTCTACCCCCTCAGGGAAGCCTGGACCCAAGGTTGGGAATCCATGTCTTAGATTACAAGTATAATATTCTTCTTTTGCTTATGTTAGACCCTTTTACTGTGTAGGCATTAATTACAAAACAGTTGGTGGAAATAAAAGCATTTTAGCATTAATGTACACTACCTAGCTACTCCTGAAAAAACTGCTAATGACAGTTTTCAAATGTCAAAATCCAAATAAAATCCTTATAGTGAAAACTGATTTTATTTCCTTTTATGGTAAATTAAAGACCCTTTTAAAAAAACTGCCACTTTTATGATTTTTAATCTGCAGATGCACAAAAAATTAACCAGCAAAGGAAGCATTATTTATTAAGGTAACAGCTCAGCACAGTCCATAAACAATGGATGATTTTATTGCTAATCAATAACCAATAATCCATCAGAGGAGAAAGTGTTTGTGTCATGGAAATGTAAAAAAATCTTTTAAAAGCTGATTATGATTATTACATTTTTTGAATAGATAGTAAAAGCCAGTTCAATTAAGCCCCATTAGACCCCCTACTCTTAAATGGAGCAAGACCAGTAGACCCGGGTGCTTGTCACGTGGACTGAAACTGTTAAACTGTGTGACTCTTAATTAAGATCTGCCTGAGATAGCAGCTAATGCTGAGCTAGCTTACTTGGAGCACACACTGTATATTACCCCCCCCCCCTCCTACAGCCTCACCTACTTTCCATCTCTATTCCCTCTGGGAGAGGCAGCTGCAGCTAAAAATAGCCCTGACTTAAAAGATGCAGGTTATTTTGTGCCGAGGCGAGCTTCTATTTCTTAACAAAGCCAAGTCAGTATTTTATCTTATTTTTTTTATATTCCCAGCTGGAGACCTAGAGCACTGGTTTAATTTGAATCTAAGCCATTCCCTGTGGAGCTGATACGTGTTTGATGGTAGACAGAATAAAGAGACATTGAAAAAAGAAGACTGAGAGAGAGAGCGAGTGAAAACTCTTTGGTTGAGAAGGCACTGGAGCAAGAGAAGGAAGATGAAAGGATTAAGAAAGGGGGAGAAAAAAGAGACATCAGTGTGGAAAGAACAGTTCCTACCGACCCTGACCAGCTTTAATTGGCACAAAGAACCCGTCTGTAATTGATAGGAACAGTTTTTCCTCAAACATGCACCAATCAAACAGATTATATGTCCGTCTGCCTGAGCATTTGAGGAAGAAAGAGAAACAGAGATGATAGAGAAGGACAAAAAGACAGTTTGTATGGATGTCTATATATGAAAAGCATTTGATGGATTTCCCTCCTAATGATCTTTTTGTAATAAATTGATGAAGTTAATATCAATAATTGAAAGGAAAATGTATGAAATGAAACAGAGGATCATGTTGGTAGAAATGGGAAGCAAACAAACAAATCAATAAATCTTATGTTCAGCAGTTCTCTGACAAGTTCATTAGGTGGGCAAAGTGGTGCAGTTCCCCTAAGATACACAAACTGGTCTGGAACGTGTGAACTTTGTGAGAATGAATTACTTTCTAAACCAGAGCTATAGATTAACGTCCTTGAGGAATGGCTTTAAAAATACCTTTGGTGCAGACACAGAAAGCTTAGAGTGTAATTGTTGAAAAGATTCAAGTTTCTTTGTATAAGTTATTGAGGCTGTTTTAGAAAACTTGAACTTATGTATTAACTTTATTTCCACAAATCATCTAGCTTCTTTGTCTTTTTTCCCCCCGTTTGTCTACCCCGCCATAGCTTCCGCTGGACTTCCAGGAACGTATCAGTTCCCACATGGAGAAACATAATCGAGGCGGTGGAGCCACTGTGCCGGTTTCCCATTCAAATTACGCCGATGCCGTGCCCACAGCCGTAATAGCTAAGGTCCTGGAAAAGCCTGAACCAGGAAACAGTTGCCCCGTTACACGCTCACCCAGCCCACAGCCGCAGGATGGAGACTTTCTCACAGCTACAGAAAGCTCCGATCACCTGAATCGCCGCATTGCGTATAAAACATCCGACCTGTACTGCAGCGATACGGCCCTCTACTGCCCCGAACGATGGCAGGATACGGAGCGCAGACAGAGCGTCGACCTCCACGGCCCCAACCTACTCCATCTTCACGCCCAGAACTCCACGGACAGCAACCCGGATGAGGAGGCCTACCACTCTGGAAGCTTCTCCCACCATGAGCCTCCATCACCCTTCCACCACCAAGATGAGTTCGGCACTGGCAGCCTCCCCGCCTCCAGCACTTACTCTAGCTTCAGCCTCGCATCGGATGACAAGGGAGGACTAAGTGGTGGTTGTGGGCCCACCGCGAGCAGCACATTATCCTCTTCCCACCAGGGTTTGTACATGGAGTGGCGGGATGGTGGCAGCGGGGACTATGGGCGCAAAAGCACATCCTCGTATGATAAAGACAGCCCAAGCTTTCCCAAGTCCCTGAGTATCCAGCACATGGTGACCTCCAGGAGCCCCCAGAAAGTCACCTCACCGGCATACACAAGGACAGCTTCATGCTTCAGTGAACCGTACCATTCCAGCACGCCGCGCTTGGCTTCCTCTCGCAGCATGGGATCCACTACTGGACTTGGCCAGACTCGAGGTGGAGCCCTTGATAGTCCGGGTGACGTCCAGGTCCCTGAGGATGACCTAAGCAGCCGCTGGAGACAGCTCAGTGTAGAAGACATCAACACGTTCTCTTACCATAACATCACAGGCCGGGCTTCTCCGTACAGTTTTTCCGAGCGCCAGTTTGCATTGGGCCCCTCCAACAAGGTCAAGGGAAACCTCTACAGCAGCTTCCAAGAGGGGGACGACGTCTTCCACAGTCGTGCGCTGGACCAGTGTTTTGATCTGGGATCCCCTTCGCCCAGCCGCAGTGCGAAACCAATGGAGCATCGTAAGCAAGAGAAAACCTCAATGCTGTACAGGTCTAAGGATGACAGTCAGGACTCCGAGTGCAGTCTGCAGTTCCTCTCAGGGAGCTCGAAAGCACAGGAGAGCAGTGGGGGAGCGACGGCGTCGAGCAGTGCCAAGAAGGACTACGTGAATCTGAGTGCGGACAGCTCACCCGAGTCCCTACTCCAAAGCTCCCTCGAAGCATCAAGCCTCCAACACTACCCAAGCCCCAGACCGAGTGTCCGGCCTCGTCCAAGCTCCAGCTCAGCCATTAGCATCGGCCCAGCACTCCCAAAGAAGACGTCTCCAAGATACCAAAAATTTGGCAGCACAGGACTGACAAGAAAGGACAGTTTGACCAAGGCGCAGCTCTACGGTACACTGCTGAACTGAGTGGCAAAAAGCAAAGATTTCCATTTTTATGCATGATGACTATGATTCCCTAACTTACTGTACTGTATTGTACCGTTTGTCTCAAAAGTTTCCTGCAGCAAACACATGCTTGGTGTAATGGGGTATTAGGATGTTGTTGTTTTATGTATCTCTTTGCCAAGGCACGTTTAACGCAGTCTGCATCACTTTTTATATTGTATGTCATGCAAAGGTGTTGCTGCCTGAAACCAGCTAAGTTTTTGTTCTGGTATTAACAACCATATAGAGCCACCAGAATAAAACTACAGCACAGAGCCGACTACATAAATTTAATGTGCTGTTTGCTCTCTTTTTTTTTTTTTTGGAGTAAAGTACTGTTAGTAAAACCAGCAAAAGACCATTAACTCCTGCGCTAATATATACAGTATAGATAATGGAATAAAGCGTGTGTAATGGAGTGACTTAATTACACATGTTTAGGGGGGGGTTATCCATTATGTGGAGTGGACCCTGCTGTCTGTAAGCTGTTAAAAAGATTTAGTTATCCTCTGCTTTCTCTTAAAGTGCATGCTTTATAATGCATATAAATAGGATGTTAAAACACATTTGCAGCTCAATTGTTTTCACAGGGAGGGCATCTGTAAAAAGCACTGACTAAAAGTGTTTTTATTCATTGGCTGAATAAGAGATATGCCAACTTGAAAAGGTGAACTGTATTTAAATTCCATGTATTGTATAAAGCAAGGCACAAAATTGTGTTTGGAGTTCCTTCCTGGTGTTAGATTTCAAACCCCTTAATTGGAAACGTATAAATATCTGATCTTTTTTGTTGGAATATTTGGCCCTTACATGAATGTATACAATATAAAATGAATACTTTATAATTGCCATTAAAAAGAAATGGAACTCTTTCTGTAGATATGATTAAAGTGCAAAATTGAATTTTTCTTATTTTTCTATTAAATTGAGATGGTTTCATCTCAGCCAGTGCTGCACAGTAGTTACCTTCCAAGCAGGACTCTTGTGAAATTGCCTTAACAACTGTGTAAATACTTTATGTATGTCTTCACTATTGTTACTATAAATGTACACTACTGTTACAGCAAATGTTCTTCCTGTCAGACATGACATACACATCTTATTGGCAAAGGATTAGGTTTGTTGTTACACTGGGGATATATTTAAGTGAAGGTCTGCATTGAGTCAAAAACAATGAAGCTTAAGCCCTGTCTGAAAAATCTAGCAAGCACCGCCGAATCTCTACCCTGATACAAACTCTAGTTTCACAGACTAAAAGACAAAAACAAATGCTGGGTGTTCTTGTTTTTCTGGAGGGATTAATTGGAATATTCTCCGGGCAAGCTGGCTGGCAGTTCTGCAACGTTTGCACAAAAGGTTCTGGAAAAAAGTGTACTCGCAAGGAAGAAAGAAACAACCGATCAAAAACAAACATGTGCATTCAGTGTGTTGTTTTTATACCAGCATGCTCAATTAGAGAAACACTGTGAAAATAGTCCAAGCCTGTGTTTATATACGTGCATAAAAGGGGTGAAGACATGCCAACTGAGATTGATGATGACAGTTCCCCCCCACATCTGTGCATCCTTTGGCCTGCTAGATCTTTAAGAGTTTTGTTTTTGTCCTTCGTGGCTATAGATCTGAAAGGAATGGCAAACCAGGATGAGCTTCATAATGAGAGCTCTTCCCTGCAGAGGACATGATCCCATTTTTTCTGGAAGGCAATGCTTCTACCTCTCCCATTCCTGCAGATCTGTTAACTGCTTTAAGGCTGTTTTTTTTAAAAGACTTTAAAAAAGGAATCACCATTTTTACGACATATGACTCATGTTCATGACAAACTGCATCACATTAACCATGAAGTCTTCAATCATATTCTAACACGATACACTGAATAAGCGTCGAAAGAGATGAAAAAGTTTGCAACCAACCGAAGTAATGTACAGGGATCAAGAGGATATATAGTATTTTTTAAGAGGACATAATGTTTGAAAAGGGATAAAGACACACACTGATGTTATTACACGATGACTTTTTTAATACAGTTTGAGTTGGTGTTATATTTATTGAATGTTTTGACCCTGAATGAAGAGGCTGAAGTGGTTCTGTCCTGTCCTACCTCCAGCTCTGTCCAGGAACATCAGGCCAGCTGTCTAAATGTCAAAATGTGTGTCTGTCTGATGCATGGTTATATATTTTTGTTGTATGTTTATTTACTTAATAAAGATGGGTGTTTGGAAATGCATCATGGACCTCGATGGAAATTCTTTTTCAGTTTATTTTTAAGGACCTTAATCCTTTTGATACAGAGGATCACAGCGGGTAACTCATCAGTAAACCATCCCTATACCGTAAAACTTCTAGTCTATGAAAAGAGCCCGCCTTCATTTGGAACAGGCGACAATGCTAGACGGGCTTTTAAAACTTGTGCAAACAAAGATGGAAAAAACTATCAAATTGTAAATGTGTGCCAAAAAAAATTGAACTGTGTTAAAACAAATTTTAAAAAGTTATTAATTTGGTCTTGCTTTGTAAGACAGTATGCACACCTGCAAACCTACAACCAACCTGCCTTTCTAGACAGATGTTGAAGTTCATCTTTGTTTTGTTTTTTTATGTCTTGCTGCTTTTTCTCCTTATTTTTGATCCACACACTATTTCAAAACTAAAATAATTCTAACTGAGATCTGCCTTTATTTGTCAAAACGTGTGGCAACACCAGGCGAGTAAAAGGAACTGCCTCAAATTGGGACCGGCTTCTAGTTGAAGTTTTATGGTATGTAAAGTTGCAGAGGTTTGAGTTTTCCAGAAATTTTAGTTAAGCTTTGGAAGTGTTGCAGCTTGTTTTCAGAATTCCTTTGACCAACTCTTCATTAATTTATAAATGTGAATATGATGATAAATTAAAAATGACACAGATTCATAGCTCACCTGTTAAACGCTGAAGAAGTAACATCCCGGGTTTCTGCTGATGAGGATCTTACATTTTTATTTATCTACCGCAAAACTTATATTAACAGCCTGGGCTTTTAATTACTTCAGCCTATAAAATGAATCTGCCTTTATTTGAGACAGGCGTCACAAGCCTTTAATGATTTTCAAACAAAACTTGTGCACGGAAAAGATGAAAAAGACTGCAAAATAATAAGTTTACATCAGAAATATATATTTTTTAGGTGGACTAAATTAAGATATCAATAAATAAATTCAATGAAGAATTACTGAATTACAGCCAATCCATACCAACAAGGTGCACGTTTGGGGAGGGGGGCTAACTAATCAACACTATATGCATTGGGGCCTATAAACAGTTATTTTAGGTTAAAGGCATATGTGTTTTTGAAGCCGTATTTTTTCATCCTCTCACATCTATAAGACGTAAGTGATCTGATCTCTGCTGCTCGTTATCAACTAAACACAGCAGGGTTGAAAAGAACCTTTAGATAGGCTTCACAAATACCTTAATGTGTCATTTAAGACGATATCAACGTCAATTTAACTATTATTAACAACAGTATAAATAACCAAAAAGGGCCAGAAAAAGGCATTGAGCCTTTTAGCACGTCGCTCAGCACCAAACAGCAAAGTGTATTTTAGGACTGAATGCAGAATAAAGATCAGAGACGTGTGTGTGTGCACTTCACCTCTGTTGTTGACTGGCAGGCTTTTGAAAGGACCTGGCAATGTTTTGACAGATGTCTGCTTTTCTCTTGTTGTTTCTCTGTGATGCTCTAAGCTGTCAGTGGGAAAAAGGAAATGTCATATGAGAGCCGGGGAGAACGAAAAAACGGCACAGAGGAAAAGCGTTGTGTTTGCATAATGTGAAATGTAAAATACCAAATCATTAGGAAATGTTTTTGTTTTGACAATAATTATGATGATGATGACGGTGTATCCAGCTGGTTTGGAGCAAGAAACCTGATTGTAAAAGCATGAGGTAGTGTGTGGATAGCAATACATTCCTTTTACCTACCACTTAAGATGAAACTCATTGAAATATTTTACTCATTTAATGGCAAAGAAACTTCCTTTCATCTCAACTTGTGTAACTTATTACTTTGTGAAAACAAAGTAATAAGGGCCCGATTGATATACACATGAGGTAGTGTTGTTGTCATGACAGTGTGAGTTCATAGCAATGGTACAGGAAATGTGAGAGGTTTCAAAATAATGTAACAGCAACACAAGTTACAAAGTGTAAAAAGGAGGATTTTAGAGCGCCAGAAGAACAAGATCAGCTGACTTCCAAACGTTTCTTTTCTCCAAGTTCTCGTCCTATTCCAAAAGCTTCTGAGAGATTGTGTCTGTGAGACGGATGTATACACAAGTTTCCAGTTAAATAAACGTGTTATCTCTTCTTGGATGGCGCACTTGAGTCTATATTTGCTTGTCTCTACTCAGAGTCTTCAGTGCCAGACCTTGATCTCTCCAGCCCAGTCGCAGGTGGCCGCAGTAGCCGGCAGGACGGGATGCTGGGCCACGCGGAGGCAGGGCTGGCTGTGGGCGGGGAGAGTGTGCAGCATGCGGGCGTTGTGATAGTCGTAGAAGTGAGCGGAGCCGGTGGAGCTTCCCGAGGCGAGGATAGCGCCGTCCAGAGAAAACTCACACTGCACGGCGTATCCCTCCACCTGGAAAATAAAAATATGATGTGTTAGTCGCAATGCAATAACCTTTCAGCAACAGCTGGATTCATGCACGCATGTCTGCATAATGACTGGATCGGGATCCAGCTGATTACAGACTCAGGCAGCGTAAACGTAAAAAAAAAAAAAAAAAAAGTGTTCATTCGCTGATTCAATAATCTGAGCAGCAGCACAAATCTGAGTTAGAAGTGAAAGAGCAGTGCTTGCCTCTGTCTCATTATTAACAACTGAATGCCCTTAAGCAAAGCACTTATCTCCAACTGTGTCACTTGATTGGTTCTGACGCGACCGCGGTTAAACAGGCTCAGGTTCAGGTTACATTTGGTTGCAGGGAGAGTCACATAATAAAACACAGACAATACATAAAACATACAGAGTGCAAATAACTCTCGCTGCCGGTTCGGACTCACTGTGTGTAAGCATATGACTCTGGATCAGAGTGTTCTGCAGAAATTCTTTGATCTTCACTGACTTTACTGAAATGTCGATGGTGGATGATTTGGCAAATTGTATTTATATAATCGAGAACAAGACATTACAAAATACATTTCCAGAAAATGTCCTGACGTGTGTTTATATTTTAATCGTGCAATTGTAATAAAAACGTAAGTAAAATGTAAGTAAAATGTAACCTCAGGAGTCTGCTTAAAGGCAAAGTGTGTAGGCTGCAGGAGGTGGGGATCGAACCCCCAACCTTCCCCGTTGAGAGACGACCGACTCTACCAACTGAGCCACAGCCACCCCAATGTACAATTGAGGAATCATGACGTTCATATTAGGTTAAGCCTTTCAGAATAATCTGATCCTGGTCTTTATCTGCAGGTATTTGTGATCAATAGTCAATCTTAAGAAAAATAAAATACTTCACTTTCCAGTAAAGGTTTCTCTCATTCAATCAGTTTGTAACACCGTGTTAGAAGTGGAAGAAAGGTTCAGGAATGAAACGTCCTTGTGTTAACTGGAACTTTCTCTTCTGTCATGTTGACTTGTTGACTTGTTGAGTTGAAGCGTTGCTGTGTTCAGCACCTCAGGGCCACCGAAAAAATGGAAATAAACAGGACCTGGAAACATGTTCAGTTTCCTGTATTGTCCACAATCAACAAACCGGTGGAGCAGTTGGAACATGATTCCTGCAATATTAGGCGGCCATATTGTTCTCTTTGCCTCCCTCGGTGGAAAATATTGTATCACACTCACAGTGTGTTTGTTTAGGAGGAGGTTGCTGCCTGGAGAGGAAACACTGCAGGCTATGGATCTGCTGTGCACATCCACTGGGTGTAGTGTACAAAGAGCCTTCTCCCCCTTTGTGTAGAGGTTTATTCTACTGCCTCTGCACAGATGTTGGTGCATGTGAAATGTTGCTCAAGCTGTTAGTGTGTGTACTCCACCACCACCACATCCTCAAAGGCCACAGTCGTCACTGACCTTGTGTCCTTCGTACCGCCGCCTCTTGTTCATTCTGTATGGCTGCTGCGAGGAGAACACTGCCATGTAGTCCCCGTTGGTCTGGGCAACAAAAGATTCCTCCAGTGGGTGGAGAGCGAGGCTTGGGCATGTGAACCGCTCCTGGTGGACAAAAGAGAGGAAAAGAGGGGGAAATTAATTCATTACTTGACCTTTCCCTTCGGTTAGTAATACATGGTGTACATTTCTTATTTTATGGCCACAGAGACATTTCGAATGTTATCATTATAATACTTTAAAATGAACTTTTCAGTAGTTTTGTCATCTTTGCCTTCACTGTAATAGTATGAAGAATTACGAGACCCTTTAGAGTTCATGCAATGTACAACAAAAGCTCAATTTACAGCCATAAAACGGACTACTAGCGTTTTTTTTCTGAGAGCGAGAGTCTTTTTTCAATTGTTTTCAATGAGGAGAGAGCGTTCTTAGTAGCAGGCAGCACCCAGCATCTCTTTTTTCCCAAGCGTTCCACATTTTTTGTGCGGCCGCTCTGAGCACTCGAGTAGAAAATCGTTCAACTTTTCAGAAAGGCGCTGTTTGACGTCACTGGCGCTCTTTTCAAAATGTACGATATTCCCTTTAGTTTTGCCGGCCTACAGATTATTTCTTGTACCCACATCCTCTTTGCTCGGGTCTAATCAGGAAATAAACGATCTAAAATTTAAAAAAGTAACGGAGCAGTTTCGGTCATACTCCAATCGGCTGTTGTCAACAGGCTGTTGTCATACAGACTATGTAACTGTCAGAATACTCCAGGTTCACATTCCCCTCATGACCGACTTGTTTCACATCAGGGGGGTTCTATTCACATAAGTACCTTTGAATAGTAAAATTCAAACAGCTTGTAGCATATTAAGCAGTCAGTTTCAACATGAAGCGCTGATGAGACATTCTTTGACTCAGGTGCAGCAACATGGGGTCGCCTTACATGGTAGATCTGGTTGGAGAGCCTGGCTGTGGTCTGGAAGTCCCAGGCGATGAGGGTGCGGTCCGCAGAGTCTCTGCTCACACAGTCAGAGCTTGTTATGAAGTCCACGCCCCCTCTGAGAAACAGGATGTCCAAGGTCTGCTGGATCCCTGCTTTGTACACGTTTACCACCTAGAAACACAAACACAACGAACATTTGAAAATAATAGAGCAATCTCTCGCATCCAGATCAACTGAATGAGTCTGTATGGAAAGACCTTTTGACGAGCGGGCTAATGTTGTGCCTGTGGGCCTATTTTATCTAGTGGGGTAATTTCACCCAGGAGCAAGTTACATTCAGCCCAAGGCATGGACTGACAGGCAGCCAGGAACTCCAGCATTAAAAACCTATCTGCTAAGGGTTTGGTCTACGCTCAATCTGAAACTCGTGGTGGCACCTTCTGGAAGAAGCGACCCCTGCCGGCATTTATTAAGGAAAAGTTGCATTTGAGCGCTTTAGATTCTGAGGAAGTTACATCAAACAGTTTATTAAGCTTTAGAACAATGTTAGGTTGCAGCTACAAGCGGGCAATTTAGAGAAAAAACTACATTTAAATGTTATTGTGGAAACCCTGCAGTGTTACCTGGATGCATGCAGCAGTATGAACCTTTCAGAGAAATATAGCATGGGGTTTCTGCACGGACAAATCCAGCCTACCTTGTTTGTACAAGTGTCAAACTGTCAGTGTGTAGGGGCGGGAAAGGGGGCTGTGGATGAGGAGCATGTGTTTAACGCCTACCTGCCTTTACATTTATAAACACGTCAAACGGCAGTTGGTGAACCAGAGTTAATAAAAAACGATAAATCTACTCTGAGGAGGTTAATAAGTTTGACCTTGCGGCAGCGGGAGTCCCAGGCTTTGACCACTGAACTGTAACCTCCGCACAGGAACACCTCCGGATTGCTGGGATGCAGGACCACACACATCACCTTGAACTGGTTGTCAAGTTTTACCACCGGCTGTCCTACACAGAGAGAGAGAGAGAGAGAGAGAGAGAGAGAGAGAGAGGAACAAGGAACGAAAACAAGATCAATGCCTCCTTCTTTTGTTTTTGGATTAAATGCTCTAGATGCTAAAAACTGAGATTTACAACATCTTCTCATACTTACTCATAATCCTGATACAACAAAATAACTTTTTTCCTCATCAGTATGTTATTTTTACTGCTTGCATATTTTTTAAAACAAACCTCCAACAGTAGAGTCACATGTAAAGTATGTGGGATTTTTTTTAAGTAGGGCAGAATCTATTCTGATAACCAGGAAAGACGACAAAGGAAATGGGAAAGTATTTGTGTGAGGATTTGATGCTTTCTTTTACAATTTAGCAAAGAACAGTGAGTGTCCTTGGGGGTTTTCATTTGTGAGACAGAATGAGACTTTTTGAGGAATTTGAGTTCGACTTAGTTTTGTTAAAAAATGTGTGTTTTTTCTGTCTTCTAACATTTTGCAGAACAAAAGGATTTCTTGATTAAAGGTGACGTTGATCTACACATCAGTCAACATTCATTATAATTTACAGTTTGAAGCTCTGGAATCAAGTGCGCAGGGATTTGAGACAAACATTAAAAGGGCTTACCATGACAACTATTAAAGGAGCAGTATGTTACTCTGACACCTAGCGTTTAAAATAGGTACTGCTGTCCAATATTTAAACAATAGAGAGAGCTGCCTCCCCCCCCGCCCCCTCCTCACTAGAGTTGATGCACGTGCAGGTTGCCATGTCGGGGAGGCTGAAGCTTCAGTGTTTAGCCAGCTCTGCACTCATTCATTCATTCATTCAGTAGATATTTTACATATTGGACCTTTAAAGGCTTTATATGTGATTTTTTGATCCAGCAGATGTCGCCCTTGAGCTCCAGCATGAAACCAAAACAACTTGTGCATTGTAGTGTTAGCATGCTAATGCTAGCAATCTTTACTATGCTCGTATCTTCACACTGCATGTAAATTTACCTGAAATGAGCGTGATCTAGAAACACAGTTAAGCAGTGAGTACAGTATGTTATTCTTCTTTTCTCTAGTCCCTCAATTAAACAACTTTTATACACGAGGGGAGGAGTCAGCCGGCCGTCCCAAAGATGTAAACAAACTGAAGATAGGACTCTGAAAACTCTGAAAACATCACAGACAGTTGATTTCTATTATATTTAAGCGTGAAAAATCGCATATAAAGCCTTTAAAGGAATAATAACAAAACATGTCAGTCAAACTATCACCAATTGTGAAAGTCAAATACAAAGATTTTGACGAGAAAAAAAAAAAAAAATGTGTATGAAGCATGAATAATGAAATCTTTTTTTCCAAGAGCTATTGTTTACCTACAATATGTTCCTAAGTGAGTAGGTATAGAGAATACAAAGTACTTCTGTGATCTTCTGTATCTAAAACCATATCAAACTTTGAGAGGAAAGCCTTTCATGTGGAGTGAAACCACTGCTTGAATTCTTTATGTGAAGTGTACAGAGATGCTTCTGGGCTGCCTGTGTAGGTGGCTGCAGTGTTTTGATCAGAGGAGGATGCTGCACACTCTCAGCTCGAAGGAACTCATTTCCAGCTCAACTCTGACCCTGGCTGGTTTCTTTCTTCTCCATGGGTTCCGACCTTTTTCTCTGAAAGTCTCCAGTGCTGGCAGAGCAATCACCTGACCTTACTGTTGTTTACCTTTGGCCAGGAAGAAACACTCTGGCTCCTGCTACATACATCCGTAAGAAAAAAACAATACACTCAGGATGAATGAGATGAAATGTGTGTGTGTGTACTATTTCTCTTCCAATGGTCTCCGGGTTGCAAATTCAGCTGAAACTACTTTTTGTTTTTTTTGAGGATGCATGTGCATTTGAGGCTGCAGTGGTTAGCGCTGTTGCCTCACAGCAAGGAGTTCCTGGTTTGAATCCCTGTCAGAGAGGAGCGTCTCTGTGTGGAGTTTGCACACATTAGTTGTGATTGCATTGTGCTTAAAAAACAAGCTCACTGATCACAGTTACAGTAAATCTTGCTCTAACTTACTTCCAAAGACAGAGTCCCCAGATCCATGTGTGTCTGATAGAAAAAGGACCAGAAGCTTTCTGTGGTCAGGATGTTACTTGCAGGCTTCCGCCATCACTTTCTCATCTCTCGCCGTCACTTTAAAGAAAGCTTTCTCGCACATGACCACCAACAGTCTCTGAAATGAAACTTTGTATTTTCCCCATGCGTTCCTCTAGAACACATCAACAAATGAACTGTAGGTCTCTTCACTTATTTTTCCTGACAGAGCTGATCAGAAATCTGTTTCGGTTGCACGGCTTCTTGTGTGGCAGGAAGCAGCGTGGCAGGGATATTTCTAAATCTGGGATAATTCCCAGACATGCTCCCAGACGCGTGAAACATATGAGTCTTTGAAAAAGGGAGAGCTGATTTAAACATCACTCAAGACAAGAGGACGATATTTAAACTTTGAGGGGCCATTGTGATGCAGGGAAAGACAAAACAGAATACAAAAAAAAACATTGTTTTGGCTCAGGGCAGTTTTTTTTCTAAATCAATTAAAAAATGTCATCCTTAAAAAGAAAACAAAAACACTGAGGGGCTTAAATATAATTAAGCCTGACGGGGTGCGACCAAAAATATTTGTTTCCAGAGATGACTACGAAGGCGGCTTCACGAGGAATAAAGCCATACTAAGAGCCAGCAGCTCTGTCAAAGGCTATGTAAAGCAGAGAGCACCTCCAGGTTCAACGGCTGCTCATTAATTCATCGCAACAAACAACAAAGACCCCCATCACAGAACAGAGTTAGACCCCAAAACAAAAACTGCACTTCACAGCCTTTTAAGAAAGAGGAACGAGTCGATGCTATTAAAACTGCAGTAGGAGTGGACCTTCTCTTACACGTAATGCTGAGTTCAACTTCAACGCATTGATCCAAAGTTTCTAACAGGCAATTTTTTCCGTGGCTCACACTTCCTGCTTAATTGGCTTACCCCCGTGGTGATACAGAGAAGATCTGTCATCGAGATTTTAAAACTCATGTTTGGCAAGACGATGAAAAAATCAACACTCTCCACATGACAAATAGGGCCTTCGTCATGTTTTAATTAGGCGGAGATTAATTAGCCTTCTTGAGAGGCGAGATAAGGGAAGACTCGCAGTGATCCGTCCCTCCTCCTTCCACCGTAGTTTTACTTTGTAGTCCTGAAAGAGCTGCGGATGACTACAGTGTGGGGGACATTATGGATGAGGTTTGAGCCCCTTAGAGCAAAAAGGGGCGTTGGGATGAAGTAGATATTCTTCCTCTTTATCAAATAAACAAAGCAGAGTGAAGTCACTTTAACGCAAGCAAAGGTTATAGACGCAGAACTTTGTTTTGCCCTCCAAATAATTTAGGAAATACGCTTAGTAAGGCATATTTCTTTAAATTTGTTGATGTTTTAAAAATGTTCCTCATGCCAAGTCTTGATAAATGAGGAGGTGAGGGGACTGAGAATAACTTATTGTAGTTCTAAAACTTTCCATTTACTTTCTTGGACACTGAAAAGGGAGATTAAAGACTCATCTGTAATTATCTGAGCCACAAACAAACTCAAAATCTAGCTGGAATAAAATACAAGGCAACCAGCTCTTACATGACCAGACAACGGAACAGTCGAGGATGGCCCAGAGATAAAGCTGAAAGCGTTAAAAACACAAAGTAAGTTGACCTTGTTTTCTTTAATTTAGTCTGCCGTTGTTTGCAAAGCGTGCATACACACACCCACACAAACTAAGCTCCCACACAAAGTGAAATCTGGCTATACTTAGGAGGTGTTTATGCATTGTAATAGCACTTTTCCCCTGAAAAAAATTAAGGCTAGAGTCTTTTCAAGGTTCCAAGTGTTCAATTAGAACTCTCCTGTTAAAAAGCCGGCGTAAATGAGAGTACAACGTCTGCATAAGTAGGCTACGCTTCTAAGTCCTGTTTTCCAATTTTACGGCTGCTGATGACACACAAGTGTTGCAAAAAATCTCCCCTGAATACTGCAGACATTCACTCTTTAAAAAGAATAACACTTGGAGGGGCTGGAGGAACGGATCCCTCCAAGGGTACAAAGATAACTCAAGTATTCAGCAGCTCCAAAACATTTCAAACTCTTCTAGGAACCCATCCCACCCTCTGTTGAACGCTTTTGAATTCAATCATCCCAGGAGCATGTATAATTTATTCATCTATCATTGAACTCGCTGTTGAGGAGGACCACCATCACTTGTGCACGTTGAAAAGATAAAAAGTTTTACCTCAGAATAATCTGGGATATATATTAAAATAAGGGGTCTGACGTTTTTTTTCCCCATCATATAGCAGGCTAATTTTGTTCAAGTATCCGGTTGCCGGTGTAAACTGAAGCTTCCAAAGTGGGTCAAAATGTGGCGCTGCTTGCTGGTGGCACTACCATGTGTGGTCTGCTGCATGCACATTACCCCCGGTGTGCAGGGCTTCAGGCTCCTGTGTTCGTATGTTTGCCTTGCTCAAGGGCATCTCAGCAGTGCTCTGTAAGTGAACTGGCACCTCTCCTACCAGAGAGCTACCAGACCAATTTCCAGATTAGGAAATGTGACTTGAACCAGTGAGACTCTGGTTCCTAAACCAAGTCCCTACAGACTGAGCTGCTGCACAAACGTCTTTACAAAACTAACTCAAATAAAAAAACATCAACTTATGACGGGATGGCATTAAGTTTGTGTGCACACACGAATGAAAGCATGTATTGACCCTTTCTATAACATGTTTCCAATAATCATTTGTTCTTTAACCTTCAGCCTTAAAGTCAGAGGTGTTAGACCACTTAACCCTAGCAGTGGCCACCCAAGCCAACTTTATCAGTCAAGACTTCACATAATGGTATTCAAACCTATAATTGTATTCAAATGTCAAATTGAATAACTAAGAAAGGAAGCAATTTTGTGCTGTTTACAGACGCAGACTTTGGAGACAAATGTCCCAAACAGTTAATGTAATTTAGTCTTTGTAAGTGTGTTCTGTTTAGCTCCTGCATTTTTGACGCAGAGATTCATTCTGAATATGGAAAAAAAAAATCATCTGTGAAATGAATCTTTCTACAAATATACAGATACATAATTTTGGAGGTAAAGATAGAGAATACAAAAACCCTTTTCTCTGCAACTGGTGTGATATCTTTTTAAAAGTTGGACTGCATGTCTCAAACCACCGGTGTGAGTCATTATTTTGCCCTTGACTACTGGCAACAACTCTGACTGGCTGAAGGTGTGACTGTGAGTGTGAATGTCTGTCTGACTCCAAAGTGTCAGCCTCGTGACCGGCTGGTTCACAATGTCAGCAAGGTTTGACTTAAGTCCTCTGTAACCCTCTAAAGGATACGAGGGGGAAATAACGAAAGGATGGATAGATCTGCACATAAAGCTCATTATTTATAAAAAAAAAAAAAAATCTGTTGTGAAATAAGATGGAATTCATTTTTTTACAATTACACTTTGCTGAAGCTGCTCACAAGGACAAAGTGAGGAGGAAGGGCAATGCCAAAGCCCACTCCAGTACAGCACTACAGTATCATTGGGGCATTATTTGGTTTTTAAAGCAAAATCTCCTTTCTGTTAGTGCCTGAACGATCCAGACAGCAAACTCAAGATCTGCATACACACATTGGCATGAACTGACACATCAACCTGTGGCAGCCTGCAGGTATTCAGGCATATATTCCTCTGCCAATCAACCTTTCCAAGGACAGCAAGAAAAGGGCTGGACAACAGCTGCCACTTCACACTAATGCCCTCCAGATGAAATTCATTTATTCCACTCCCCAACTTCAACTTCTCTGTGTGTTTTCCTTTTTCTCTGAATTTATTCTGCCTCTTTTCATTTCTTTCTTCCCATTCTCCCTCTCCCTTTCTGCATTACGCCTCTTAACCTGCTCTCCCTCCCCGTGTCCTCCCTCCCTCCGCTATTGCTATTCAGCTGTGACAGCCTGCCTGTGGCCCGCTGGGAGTGGATATAAGATTGTACAAATTAAATTGGACACAGGAACAACAGTGAAGGTGGGCAAAGAAAATGGGCCCTCACGCATACCGCAATCTGAATGCATAGGCCTCCTCTATTATTCCATTTCTCTTTGAAAATACCAATTGGTGCAGTATTTGCTTAGGTTATGCTGTGGAGAAATACATTGTCCCACATACCCCCACTTTCCCCTTAAAGGGCTGGCACAGTCCTTTAAAGAGAGCTGGATTGAAGAGAGCAGACACACAGCTGCTTTACTTGTTAGAGTTAAGAGGCTCTGCATTAGTGTCAAGAGCATAACGATCACATTCATCCTGAGTACAGTCTGACGCAGCAAACACTCCGTTTCCCATCGCTCTTAGCGGGTCTAATGTGAACATATATGCTGCATGAATGTTGGAAGCCTTTCAAAAATGTCATTATGATAATTACTGTATGGTATAAATCCTCTGAAAACACGGGAGCCATAACTTACAAATATGTGATGACGTCAGTCTTTTTTAAAATTATGAATGGGATAATGCAGCGAAGCCACTTTCTACTTCTTTAAAGGTCACATATTATGCAAAATGCAGTTTACCATGTTGTCCTAACACTAATATGTGTCTCGAGTCCGTCTACAAACCCCCCAATGATGAGAAAAGTCCATCCTTTTTGTCTTTTGCTTGCTCCACTTTTCAGAAAATGTGCGCTCAAACAGGCCGTTTGGAGATTTTCCCTTCATGACATCACAAATGGCAGCAACCCCTCCCCCGGGTGGGTGACACTCCCACAGCTAGGTGTTTGTTCTGTCCCCTGAATCTGACTTGTAAACAATAGGGCATGGAGCGAGAAACCCTGAGTCACCCAAGCCCTTCCAGAGAGGGGGCGTGGTCAGACACAGCTCATTTACATTTAAAGGTACAGCCACAGAAACAGCCTGTTCTGAGCAGGGCTGAACTAGAGGGGTTTATAGACATGATCAAATACAGGATCCGAGTGGATTTAGAACAAGAAACTTCACAGACATGTTTTGAGGAGCTCTGGACTTTTTAAAACTTGTTGAAAAGCAGGATAATATGTGACCTTTAAAATGATTGGTCGTTGATCTTACCTGTGAGATGTCAAATTTCACCACAATTGTGCAGAGACTTGGCTAGAATTTCCAACTCCCATATTAATTTTCAGCTAAATTACATTTTTGTAGCCTTGTGCAGCCAAAGCAGTGCACACTCCACATCTGCAGATCCCCTATTCTCAGAAAGAGATCAATTCAATCTTCAAATAATAATAATAATAATAATAGCGTTATGAAAATAAACAATACAAATAATAATAATAAAACAGTGACAGTGTTGCCTGATTTTGTGTGAGTGGATCTTTGGATTTCTGGCATTACTTCAGAGAGGGAAGTTTGATCCCACTTGGACATCCTATACGAGTGGAGAGCGAGCTGCTAAAGGCTACCAAAGTAAAAGACCAAAGTATAAACATTTGTTTGTTTATGGTTGTAGTTTGTGGCGTTTCCGGTGTAAGGTCATGGTGGCTGCTCCTGTGGTGATGTATCCATTATTGATCCTCGTCCTGGAGCTGCCTGTGTGTATAATGGGCAGGCCAAGCTATTATCCGTAGGCTTTATTGGCAGTATTGACAGACGTGCTGAGAGGGGAAGTGCAAACGGCAGCAAGTCATCACAGCAATGCGTTGACCCTGGAGATGTTGTTGCCACAGGGGCTTCCAAACAATGTATATTGTACGCTGGCTTTTTCTATTGAGCCTTTTCCTCTAAATATTTTTCTGCACATAGAAGCACTGAAAATAAATTCAGTCCAATGTCTCAGTGTGGAAGAAGGACAAAGAGGCCGAATAATTCAATAAAGAATGTAATATTTTTCTTGGTGACTTTCTAACATGTAGAAGCAGAAATCTGAGTTTTCATTCAACATTCCTTCGAGCTCTGCAGAAATTCAATGACTGTTTCAGGACTTCTCCAAACGAGCCTGTTGCATCCTGTTTTCACGACTTGTTCTCGTCTCTTCTGCAGAGTTTATAACATTTACGCTTGGCCACAGAGAAAAGGCATTTCCAAAGCAAACCAAATTATTGATCTCTTGCTAATGTCACCCTGAAAACGGTTTGTGTGGTCAAACAAAAAGAGCCAGCTGAAACTTAATCTTTAGGATTTACCTCCTACATGAATGTCTTCTATTTGTTTCCTCTGCAGGTTAAATGACGCTGCAAGGTTGAAAAAACTAACTATAGCTACATATTTAGATTTTTTATTTTTTGGCCTTTTTTGTGTTTTTATTGGAGAGATGGGACAGAGTCGGAACACAGGGAGAGAGAGAGAGACTGGGGAATGACATGCGACAAAGGAGCCACAGGTCGGATTTGAACCCAGGCGACCCGCTTGAAGGACGATAGCCTCCGTACATGGAGCATGCGCACTAACCACTGTTCCACCAGCGCCCCTGAATGTTTTAAGAGGAAAAAACTGAAAAACTGAAAGAGTTTTTCATTATTTATCTGAACTGCTTGAATGATTAGCATGGCACATTATGATGGACTAATGGACAGCTTTTCTCATAAGTTGTTGGAAACGGAGCAACTTTGTGAGCTGACAGAGATAAAACGTAACATCCAAAAGTGACCCCAGTGGATTCTGAGGCACTACAGACTTTAAAGAAATACTGGCTGTTTCATTTAAGTTTTTGGAAATGGATGCAGCATTTCTCTTGGCTGCAATTGGATGAGTCTTTGAAATAAGATAGTTGACCATTAGTAGTGTATCTTCTTTTGAAATGTAGATTTAGAGGGTCATCCCTAAAATAGGACACGGCCGTAGGGCAGCTGTGCCATTTATACGATAGGTTTATAACTGGATTTGGGGGCAACAAGAGACTCCATAAAGAGATTACTGTAGATGTAAAAAAATAAAAAAAATAAAAAATCCTAAAGAAATCACATTGTCGAGAACTCTTGATGCCTGGCCATCAATGTGTTCATAAAGATGTTTAACCGCACTTCAAATGGACTTTTAATGAAGTGTTTGTAATGCAGTTTGACTTCGTCTTTCTCAGTATTTTGGAAATAACAAATGTCTTTGTTGTACTGTTGTTTTTTTTTCATGTGACGCTGTGTTTATCAGACCCCAAAAAGAGAGAAGTGTTGCAGCTCACCCGTCTCCACGTCTGTGATCACAGCCGTGTTGTCAAACGAGCCAGTGAGGAGGTGTCGCCCACAGGGGGTCCAACAGGCATCTCGCACAGCCCCAGAATGGCAGCTGTACACCCTCAGGCATCGCCCGCTCTCTGCTGCATCCCACACCTGCCAGACATGAGCACACATCCAATCAAGCACAAGTCACAAATACATCTAGATTGCAGCAATAAAGTTTTTTTTTTTTTTTTACAGGCTGTGCACAAGCAAAAACACTTCTAGAACCAACCTTTCAAAGAGTTACTGCATCCTTTTGAAAGCTGAGAAAGATGATACCTAACTCATGTAAATGTAATTGTGCTCAAACAAAATAGATTACTTAGCAAATAGCTGCTGGAGAAATTGGCATAATGTGTTTATAAATCAGGCCTATTTGCCGGATTTAAACACAACAACAAGCTTTATAATGAATTAATCAACCTAATTACCTTTCAGCGTGACTATAAATCAATCCCCCTGGCTCGGATTGTCTCTAATGGTTTTGTATTGTGAAAGGTTTCACTGATTATATACACAGAGAAGCACCTAGCTGCCTCCTGTTCTGTTGTGACTGCCATGACAACGCTATCTTAAAAACGCTTTAAAGTGTGAAACCAAGGTGCATATAAATTGCAAAATAAAGGCCAGAAAAGTGAGACAGTGATTTTTAAATGAGGCGTTAAACCATTAGTGTGATCTACTGTTGGATTGTGCTTTGTCTTAAGTGACTGGTCTGTTGTTTTTTTTGCACTATGCTACAAAAAGATGGCTTGGAAAACAGGCTGGTCAATAATGTGACATTCATTAGATTTCCTGTAGAAATAGAATATTATTTGCGCCCTGAAACTGCAAAAGTCAAAGTCTCCCAGAAGCCCAGCCTGAAATCCAGTGGGTGGTCTGGGTTCTGGTCTCCACTGAGGTAAGGCACATTACACTAATGATGACGGGTTTTTTTTTTTTTTTTCTTCCCCTTTGCTTCTCCAGCATTGCTTTGGCCAGAGAGGAACTTTGAAGATCTGTGGGGTGCTGCTGCAGCTCCCTCTATGCTTCCGTCTATTTCATTATTAAACAGGACTCCTACAGTACATGCAGCGTGAGAAACACATAGAGAAGTTCTGTACCAGCAGCTCCCGCAGGAGGAGATAGACAGAGAGGGGAATAAAAAGGGATGGACGAGTGGGAGAGCGACGTATCAATACGGTAGGCGTCGGATTAACAAACAGAATTCCAGAGATGCCTTCAGGCTTGGAAAGACAGTGACAGAGAAAAGAGGAGACGGAGAGCAACATGTTTAATTGATAAAAACGAAATATTGAAGTGAAGCTTCTATTAAGAATATATCTATGTATTGCACCACTTCTATGTTTAATCTGAGGTTTAGAGAAACACTGCCATCTGAAGGAAACATGAGATCTGTGTAACAACATGTGATGATCACATCTATAGAAACAAAAGCTTCTAAATATTCAAGTCAACATATTTTATGCATAACAAGTCTCACAAAGTGGCCGCTGCCTCAGCCTCGTCTCCGATGAATAACAGCGTTAATGATATTCACCATAACAACTCACACACACAATTGCAATAATCCGGCACAATGAGAGACCTGCGCATGGGTGGAAATGAGTGCTTGTTTATTTGCATCCCCCTTCAATTTCACCGGCCACTTAACAGACACGAAGAGCGGATCCTCGCCCGTGACTCATTGGGGTAATCTGCTTCCTAAATGACTCTAGGTAATTAAAAGTAAATTGGTATTCGTGTTATCAACTTAAAACTGCTGCCTTACACCTGCCGTAGCCATGGCAACAACAGCTGCAAACAGGCCGGAATAATAATAGTCTTGCAGGACGAGTGCCTCTGAGGAACTGCCAGACAGGATGGAGGAAGAGGAGGCGGAAAAGCCTGAAGGGTGTTGGTGAGGAAACACGAGAGGAGAGTGGTTTGACTTGATAGAGTGTGTCGCCTGTCTGTCTTTACACAGAGAAGAAAAACGCTGAGGCTAAGGCGTAAAAGTGCTGCAGAAATATTGATATGCTGGTATATAATATGTCAATATGACATGCTGCTGTAAAATAAATACAGGCTTTTCACTCAAAAGGACATCCTGTAGTGTATTATTATACCTTTATAAATACTTTTTTCTGCTTGTCTCACACATAGACTGTAAATACTAATGGACGACGCCTGAGTGATGTCACCAATCTGTTACAGCAGGGGGCTCCTGAGGCTCATCGGCAGCAGCCGCCATGATGGAAATGCTGTCTCAGCCTAACTTTCAGTCAACCTAACGACAGGCTGAGAGCTGGAGCTGAGGCGGGTTTTAAGCCTCCTGACAAACTGTTACATCCAGCCACCTGTCAATCATGTCAGCTACGCACCTAACTACGGATAACATACATTGTTTATAAAATCAAAACAGTGCCATTTAAAAAAAGAATCACCTACCATACAGTGTTTGCCAGTGATGACATTTTTTTAACCAGAATCCCACTGTGACATCACAAGGAGAGCAAATTTGAAACGGAGCATTTTTCTCTGTGTTGTAAGACTTATGCGGACCACAAACAAAAGACTGGGTGGGTTTATTTTACACTTTGTGGGTCGGTAGATAGGTAGAGATAATATGTCCCCTTTAAGGCACTGAGAAGATGCATGAAAGTTGTTTTTTTGCAGCAAAGAAAAAACAACACTTCCTCAGTAAGAATGGACTTTAAAGTGGGGAAAAAACCTGTTGAAATACTAGAGCTTGAAGAAGCTAAATGTGTCACATGCAAAGGTAAGTGTGAGTATTTCTTCTGATTCTTTTAGTCTATTGGTTACACAGTCTGAGATAAAGAAGGTGAGAAATTAAAAAAACAACACCAACAACCAAGTCTTCTCCTCCCCTGCTCCGCACCATCTGCTCCTTACCACCATTTCCAGGTGCCAAAGGAGCCGGCTGCCATATTTTTGCATTGTATAGTTATGCAGATGATCTCATGTTTTTAAATAATTAATTATGCAGTCCTCTAAGGATATTGGTTGGGGTATGTGGTTTCGCACTGGGATATAAATATTTAGTCAGCGGCAGACACCTGCATGACTTGACCTTTACCGCAGAAATATGAGAGATTGTTTTCCTGGTATGAAATATAGAAAAGCAAAGGGGGAAGGGGATATCAGGAAGACAGAGAGAAATTGAGCAAGACAGAGAGAGAGAGATACCATGTCCCATGTGTCCTGACATACATTCAACTGACAGTGACAGATATGATTCCAAAGAAAGTGGTTTGTGGTACATTTATAAAGTGAGGCGGCGAGGCGGATTTTATCTCACTGCCTGTAACGCCGTGCCAATTACACTGAATGTCAGGTAAGCGATTATCCCCTCAGACCTCCCCAAAGCACTTGGCACCTGCCTGGAAACTATACTGATAAATGGATTTCCCTTTTCCAGACCACTGCGTATATAGAGCGGAGTCAGCTATAGAAAGGAAGACGAATCCTTCATGCAGAAAAAATATCAGAATTATGACTTAAAGTCAGATCACATCACGTCAGTTTAAATTAATCGGGAAAGGTACTTTATGGAAGCGTGCACAACAAAAGCACTGGATCACCTCTTTGTGAATATATTGCTTCGAATGTCCATTCATTTTTGGGAGCCATTTTTTGAAGCTATTATTACCTTATAAGTCTTGTCCATGGAGGCAGAAAGCAGCAGATGACTGATACGGGGCACAGGACACCACTGAACTGTGTTGACTGGGCCTTGGTGGCCTCCCAGGTTCATCAGAAGCCTCCTTGGTATCCCCGCTGCACCCGGCTTGTGAGGAAGATAAGGCTTTACTCTAGCCGACACGTCTGAAAGAATTTGGCTTTCCCTGGTCTGATTCCCTTGGACTTGATCTGCTTGGGACTCTGGGTTAGCTGCCTCTACTGAAGTGGCAAGTCTCTGTCTCTTGGGGATGTACGGTCTGACACCAGGGGTGTGTGTTTGATGTCTTTTTGCTGGCTTGAAACCATCACTACGGATTTGGGGCATGTGAGGAACAGTCTGCAGTGATGACATCTTCCCCTGATTCACAGGAAAACTCAGAAGAGCTGCAGTATCTTGAGGATGTTTTTCTTGCACGTCTCTCTCGTCAATGCAGTGTTTTCTGTCCGAGTCAAAACAGCTCTTAGGCTGTATTGAAGAGCTATTTCTCTCTGAGGCATCTCCATGATATACCAATAGTGAACTGCCATGCACAGGTGTGAAGCTGTGAGGGTTGGGTGTCACCTCAGAGGAATTACACACACTGCCTCCCTCATTTTGTTCTTGCAATCCTGTTTGGAAAGAATCTTTGCTCCCTCTTCTGTCTGTTCAGGAGAATCATCCTCTGATTCTGAATCCTCATAGGCCACTAATGAAGACATCTTCACATGACGGGGCTCTGTTTGAAAATAAAGGGAAAAGGAGAGACGGTTATTATAGTTTATCAATCAGAGGTACAATGGTGGCATCTAGTGGTTGCTTGGATTTCTGCACCTAAAAGTTATTACAAACTCGTACTTTTAAGAACGTTTTGTGACAAGAAACATTGCCAAACTCCGTCCTACACTCTCCCTGTCAGATGCTGAGAAACTCGTCCACGCCTTTGTCTCCTCCAGGCTGGACTACTGCAACGCACTCCTCATCGGGATCCCTTCTCACCTACCAGTGCACCCATGGAAATGCCCCCCTCTATCTCAAAGAACTCCTCACCCTTAAATCCTCCACATGAAGCCTCCGCTCTGGAAACACCAACCTCCTCCACCCCCCCCCCCCCAGGACTAAACTCCACACCCATGGGTGACCAGGCCTTCTGCTCCTCCGCTCCACAGTCTGCTGACGCTTTTAAAAGAGCCCTAAAAACCTTTTTAACAAAGCCTTCTGCTAGTGCTTTTAGTTTCGTTCGTTGCTTAGTTGATTAAATTTGTTTTTATTTCTATTTTATTTTATTTCCTGTAGCACTTTGAGATTTATTTTGCAAAAATGTAAAGTGCATTATAAATGTATGTATTATTATTATTATTATTAATATTAATAATAAGAAGAAGAACAGCAACAACTACATTAACCTTGCAGTTTAACCAATAAAGTTGTGGTTATTCATTGTAACTAATAACAAATATAGATATACTGGAAAATAGATTTACTTATTTAAAAAAAATTCAAATATAGATACAATTATTTTTTAAAAGAGATTTATGAAGATATGTCATAGAAATATGAGACATTTATTAGATAACAATGCCTAAAGTGGCTTATTTAAAACACTAACACTTTGGATGCAACTGTCCAGTGTGATATTTCAAATGTTAAAGCAACATCATGCACCAGCAGAGAGGACTGTGGTAGAAACATGAACTGGAAACACTGCAGGTAAGAAACATCGCGAGATTTTGGTCAAGTACGTAAATTTATTGCCATAGTAACTACTACACAAAACTATACACACAAAAACGAGTGTACAGCTAATGCGTTCAGACAGAGCATTTTATTAAACATCTTTATATTACTTTATATATTATCAGGTTTTACAGTTTACTTAGTTAAAAGACTGTCTGTTGACTCAACACCGGATACAACTTACCTGACACCACGTTAGCCTATAGCAAATAAGGCTAACGTTGGTCGTTCGCGCTCACCCTGAAAGCCTCTATGTAGCCTAAGAATGAAGTTAAACGACAGTCGGTGAATTTACCTTTCACTATTGTACCTGAAATGTTCTTAAAACTTTTATTATCCGACTTCTGAGCGAGTAAAACAGTCACAACATCATCAAGGTCCAAAATCCCGCACACAACTGGAGTTAACGAGCGCCTTCAGAATAAAAGCAATGTTTCGATTATTCTACGCACGCCAGACGCAGCATCAGTGTAAAAGCTTTTATTTTGAAAGCCGGTAATAGGAACCGAAGCGACGGTCCCTCTAGTCAGCTTTGTATCGCTGTTTATACATTTACAGTTATTATACATCTTGGATTTCCTGTGAAATTAAATTAACACTATTTTGTAAAAAAAAAATAAAAAAAAAATGTTTGTGTTTTAGACATGCATGCAAGATATCATAACGTGGCAATTTTGCTTTGGTACTTTCATAAACGGAACTGTTTTGCCAGGGAAGGATTTGACCCGAACACAACACCACACAGGCTGGGCTGATGCAAGTTGAATGAGGTAGCTGTCAGCTGTGTGAGGAAAACTGTACGGTACGGCTTGCATTTTTTGTCATTCTGCAGCTTCTCTGTGACTGAATTTGATTATAAAATAAAATAGATTTGTTTTTATTTATGCAGCAGAAAGAGTTAAAACCCTGGAGATATCAAACGATGTTCCAGCTCCATAGCTTGTGATGTGGCTTGTCACATATGGGATTCATCTCAACTGCAGTGGCAGGAGATACAGTAATGCTTAAGTAGTCAAAGCCTCTGTGACTCCAGTCAACAGCTAATCAGAGCATTTAACTTGTCTCTACGTCACAGGTGTGTCCGGTCACTGTGCCTAAACTTAAAGTGCTGCTTTCTTTGTCAGTGTGAAGACGATGACGGACTGTGAGGGAGAAGGTCCTCTGGAGCTGTACGAGCAGCTGACTGCACAGGGAGACAGAGTCAGAGCTTTGAAAACTGCCAAAGCTGAGAAGGTGAGAATTTGTGCACTACCATGTAATAACTAGACATAACATGGGTCTTTAAATGTTGGGGGAAACATTTTAAGATCTGATCTAAGGGTCCCAAGGGGTGGGCAACTGGCGGCCCTCGTCAACCCTCAATGTGGCCCTCAGGTCAATTTTATATATCAAAACACGACAAAATCAGCCATGAAATCATGAAAACCAGAAACATTTCCATACTAATATTTGATCACTGGTTTATGTTGAGTTCATAATTGACTGTTATCGTTTTTTGTATACTACAATTTGGCCCCCTGGCAGTCAGAATTAAATGAATGTGGCCCCTTTGCTGTGACCGAAGTTGCCCATCCCTGTATTAGGGGAATTAGGTATGAATATGCATCCTAAAATCTGAGAACTCTTTGTGTTTAGATTTGCTAACATTGTGTTTTTTACTCATATTGTGTGTTTGGATAACCTGCTGCTGTAACGCCACAATTTCCCAGTTTGGGATCAATAAAGTAATTCTATTCTATTAATCTTAAAGAGATAGATAGGTCACACTTCGACACAAAGATTCATCTCATTTTAGAGATCTTTTAATTTTAGATCACAGGAAAAAGGAAGTTTCTGGTCATATTAGGGCAGGGGTGGGCAACTGGCGGCCCGGGGCCCACATGCGGCCCTCGTCAACCCTCAATGTGGCCCTCAGGTCAATTTTTATATATAAAAACACAACAAAATCTGCCATTAAATCATGAAAACCAGAAATATTTCCATAATAATATTTGATCACTGGTTTATGTTGAGTTAAATTTGAGACTGTTATCGTTTTTGTATGCTACAGTTTGGCCCCCTGGCAGTGAGAATTAAAATGAATGTGGCCCCCTTGCTGTGACCAAAGTTGCCCGTCCCTGCACTAGACTCTTCTCCTCTGTCGCCCCCCGGTGGTGGAATGAACTTCCAAACTCCATTGGATCTGCAGACTCCCTCTGCACCTTTAAGAAAAAGCTAAAGACCCAGCTCTTTCATGAATACCTACTAACTTAATGATGATGGTCTCCATATTACTGATGATGATGATGGTTGTGACGATGGTTTTTGTTTGATAACGACGACTTATAAGATGGTTTCTATACTGATTAGAGCTCTCAAGAACTGCCCTCAATGTTGTGCTTTGCCTCTGGTCACTTCCTGTCAACACCTGTGTGTCGAATCAGACTCAAAGCTGATCATTTGCTCTTACTGACATTGTTCCCTTTTTTCTAGATCCTTGCTTGTGTTGTACTTACTCTCTGATGTATGTCGCTTTGGATAAAAGCGTCTGCTAAGTGAATTGTAGAATCTTTTATTCTAAATAACGATCAATGGTGTCTACCTCTGGTGTAATTTGGGTTTAAAACATAGCCTGTAAATGTATTAAATTTAAATGAAGAAGTTTTGATATTTTCCGCATAAGTACCGCAAAGCAATTCAACAACTGTATTTAGGATTGTATTGCACTAGAGGTGAGCAATATGATGATATGAAGCATAACCCATGTACCATTACAGACAGAGAGCTAATTTGCTTCCCTGCTGGATGTTTGAGAACATGGTAAACTGGTCTGCTTCATAGTTTCAGGGAATAACTATATTTTTATAAACATTGCCATCAGTTTGCAAGGTGACTTTTTCTGATTCAGAAAGTAGTAACATGTAAAAGTTGTAATAGTTTTATAGCTGGTTAGTTGTGCATTGTATTTTAAAGGAACATTGCTGTTGACTTTTTTTAGAAGAGCAAAGTTTAGAGGAGATTTCTGCAAAGATATCATGTTAAGCTTCATCAGTGCCACTTAATCCTGTTGGTGTTTGTTTTGTCTGATTTTTTTTTTTGATTTTTTTTGGGTTCCCCAGGCTGAAGTCGATGCCGCTGTCCAGTTGCTACTACAGCTGAAGGTGGACTACAAACAGGTGACAGGTCAGGATTACAAAGCAGGCTCCCCGCCCTCAGAAAACTCCGTCGCCCCCGACAACAGGCCTGCAACAGAAGGCGCTGATGACGAAGACACGGTCGACCCATGGAACGTTTCCACCACCAACGCCAAGGGAGTGGATTACGACAAACTCATAGGCAAGATTTAAATAAGCTACAAGTTCTATGGATAACATATTTTTTTGGTTTGTTAATCTGTTAATACATGAAATGAAATACTAATGATGATAGCGATACTTTAAGGGCATTGTGCCAGTAAAGCTCTACTGCAGCTTAATCATTTCACATTGTGTTTTCTCTTCCATCAGTGAGGTTTGGCAGCAGTAAAATTGACCAGGAGCTCGTGGACAGAATAGAAAAAGTCTCAGGACAGAGACCCCACCACTTTCTAAGAAGAGGAATCTTCTTCTCACACAGGTTAGCATTTTTGTTCAGCATCAAGGTGACCTGAGGTTTTTATGTTTTCTCATTCCTGATACCTGCATTTAGTTATTAAGTTGTTGTTAATATGTCAGCATACAAAGATGAACCTTTGACATGGATGTCCCTCACTTAGCTCTTTCTACTGTTTCTGGCAGAGACATGCATCAGGTGCTGGACGCGTACGAGAAGCAGAAGTCCTTTTACCTCTACACTGGACGAGGTCCATCCTCAGAGGCCATGCACGTCGGTCACCTCATCCCCTTCATCTTCACCAAGTGAGATCTACCTCCGTAATGCTAAAAAACAAAAAAAACAAGAGATGTTAGGCTTAATCTTTTAATCAGCTGGGCAAAATTTTAAGATAAATTCCAGAGCTTTTCATGTGCAGCTGGAAATACTTTTCTTTTGAATTAAACATCAATTCATCTGTATAGTTGAAATTTACCTCCTTGTTGCAGATGGTTGCAGGATGTGTTTGACATCCCCCTGGTGATCCAGTTGACCGATGATGAGAAGTACCTGTGGAAGGATCTATCACTAGAGGAGTGCCAACGCTTCGCTGTGGAGAATGCCAAAGACATCATCGCATGTGGCTTTGACGTCAACAAGACCTTTATCTTCTCTGACCTCGGCTACATGGGGTAAAATATGACAACGGAAATGTATTCAGGAAATATAAACGCTAGAGGTGGGAAAAAAAATGTTTTATGTAAAAATCGAGATTATTATCTTGTGAGATTTTAAATAGATTCATATTTTTTTTTTTCTGGGGTGGGGGGCTAATCAGTCGTTCCCTGCTAAGTGCTTAGGCTAGCTCTTTAACTCAGTAGAATGCCAAATAGAGCAGCAAGACATTCAGCCAGTATTCACAGATGACTGGAGTAGATCCTGAAGTATGTACTTATTCAAAAATAGACTTTGAACCCATGAATCCAGAATCGTTATGAATCGAAAATAGATTCTAAATCGAATCATGAGACACCCAAAGATCCCCAGCCCACGTTGGCAAACATTATTAATATTTGAGTCTGACTTTGTTGTGTGTTTTTAATGTAGTAATATTTCTTTTTCTTGCAGTGCATGTCCTGAATTCTACAGGAACGTTGTAAAGGTTCAGAAGCATGTGACATTTAACCAGGTCAAAGGCATCTTTGGCTTTACAGACAGTGACTGCATCGGTAAGAAACTTGAAAAAAACGTCACGCTAAGAGACATTTTTTTTTTTGAGTAATCATTGAATTCTACTCTGTTGAGGAGAGAACCAAATATGACATTTGTTTCATAGAAAATTGTGTGTTGTTGTTTTTGTGCCATAATTGTACATTTAGAGTGTGATTGTCTCAATACTTTGTTATGTTGTTTTTTATGGTGTTCAATATTTTGTTTTCCTCCAGGAAAGATCAGCTTCCCAGCCATCCAAGCCGCCCCGTCCTTCAGTAGCTCGTTCCCAAAGATCTTTGGAAGTAGAAAGGACGTCCAGTGTCTCATCCCCTGTGCCATAGACCAGGTCAGGACAGCACTGTAGCGTAATTAATTTATTAAGATATTATATCTTTATTTAACCTCGGATTTAGAAGGGGGCACCACTTCCCATTATAGGAAGAAAATAACTTTACCTGTATAAGTTAACTAATTAATCAACCAGTTTCATATCTTGAAAGAAGCAAGTTCTAGAAATGTGAAACAAGAAAACTCACAAAGTCCTGAATTTTATGTGTAAAATGTAATATAAAAGGGTAAACAATAAGGTATAGATGAAACAGATAAAGAATATGATTATTATGATCAGGATAATGCAATTATAACGTATGGTGACATTATATATTTAGTAATGAGATAAGACGCAGTATTGGTTGAAGGACTTAATCAACAAATGATCAAAAAGGGGAAAGCTGATAAATGAATTTTGGGATTCTATTTGGATTTAAAGGAGGGCTCTGAATAGACACGACTCACGACTTAATCTTCCAACACCAGCTGTGAACCATCACCCTTACTGGGAGTTGTGTTCGATTGAACTCCGCCGGCTGGTCCCGCGTTTCAGTCTCCGATAAGTTTTCCCTTCCAGGGCTACCAGAGAGGTCCACGGGCTAGATTAGACGCCTTGACACCTGGGTCGGAGCGTGCAGCTGGGATGGAGATTGAAACGTCGGTTCAGCCGTCGTCTCAGAAGCTCCAAGGGGATCCAACAGGAAAAATATTAAAGAGTCTTTTGATACGTCGATTTGCAATTCAGATTAACCGGATGGCCATCTCGATGAATCCAAATTAAGGAATTGGCGTTCAAAAATGAAGAGCAAAGACTTTGGAGAAGAAAGTTCAAAAACCTTGCTTGAGCCAGAGTCCAAAAATGTGCGTTGAAAATGAAAGTTCGGCAGAGAGTCGTCTCTCCGGCACAAACTTCTAAACATACTGGTATATACGTCACCATTCATTCATTTCGATATTATTTCTATCAGATCCACGGGTAATAAAAAGTACCCAATGAAGAAAGACATAAATGTTCATTTGATGCAGAATTGAACGCTGTGGTTTAATCAGCTTTCCAGCAGTTCTTAAAACAGATGGTCAATTTTTACAACTTTGCAGAGACTGGTTTCGGTCACAATTTGTAGATAGCAGAGTGTTCTGTTTCCGCTTGGTTGTTTTCTCAATGCGTTGTAAAAGTTTATAATATCCTGTCCTCCAGTGCCTGTCTGAGAGGGAGACTTAAATCATTGATCAGTTCCTTTGTTTCTCGGTAAAGAGTAACCAACGTGTTAATCCACATCCCCGAGTCCTGCAGGAAGAGAGGTTGTGAAACGTGGCTCCTGATATCGGCTGCAGCATTATGGTCTATGGATAACAAAAGTGCATATGAACCAGGGTCATATTTTGCAATTGTATGTAATCGTGTCTTATTGTCTCGCTCCATCAGGACCCGTACTTCAGAATGACCCGCGATGTAGCTCCAAGAATCGGTTATCTCAAACCGGCGCTGCTGCACTCCACCTTCTTCCCGGCGCTGCAGGGCGCGCAGACAAAGATGAGCGCCAGCGATGCCAACTCCTCCATCTTCCTCACTGACACTCCTAAACAAATCAAAAACAAGGTGCTTCTGTTAGTCAGGAGTTATTTGTTTGTCAAATTGATTTTTGCCCTTTTGCTGTTGAACTGACTCATCCAACCTATTTAATCATGATCCCAGATCAACAAACATGCATTCTCTGGAGGAAAGGACACAGTGGAAGAGCACAGGAAGTACGGAGGAAACCCAGACGTTGACGTTTCCTTCATGTACTTGACCTTCTTCTTAGAGGACGATGAACAACTGGAGAAGATCAAACAGGTGAGGGCATAAGGACCAGAAATAATAAAATAATTGTTCTGCTTTCACTAAACTCAACTTTTCTTGTACTCTTTTTGTCATCCTCTTTGTAAACTCTCTTATAAAATATCGACTTCCCCTTGACATCTGTACATCCTCTCTGCAGGACTATGCAAGTGGAGCTCTGCTAACTGGTGAACTGAAGAAGATTTTGACTGAACTCCTGCAGCCAATGATTTCCCAGCACCAAGAGCAACGCAAACAAGTCACAGAGGAGACAGTCCAGCAGTTTATGACACCCAGGCCTTTAAATTTTAACTTGTAGCCCAACTGAGCAGCTTAGATGTCACGGGTAATTACTTCACTTATTTCAGTCCAACAACAAAACCATTGTTCCAGCTTTTTCCATTTCAAATGTTGTGATTTGTAAAATGAAGAAGGACATTTTACGAAATAGTTATAGCATCAGGGATGGAGACAAATGTCAAATGTAAATGTACAAAGCAATGATGTACTTATCTGATGAACTAAGCCCACGCCTTCATGCTAACCATCATGCTACTTGTTAGCATCATGCTTCACCAAATGTACACATGTATCTTCATGAAGTGTTTGTGTTTTGCAGCACTGCTGCAACGTCACATGGGTCCTGCTCCTCAGCCTGAACTCATTTCAGGTTCAATAAAGCGAAATAAAAATGTATATTGTTGCTAAATCTGCTTCATAACCAACGACACAATCACATATTCGCTCTGAAAAATTATGATGATTAAGAAGTCTGAATTTTTTCTGGGATTTTTTCTTTTTTTTACATTAATCTTGAGTGTAAGCCCGTAACGATAAGCAGGATCTCATTGTCTAACTCAGTGGTTCCCAAAGTGGGGGTCGCGAGATTCCTCCAAAAAACATATTGAAAGGGTTTCAGAAAGCTTATTTTATTTATTATTGGGAAAATAAAATTTAAAAAAAACTAGTTAAAGAGATTACCTGTGTTCGTCTTCTAGCGTTTCTTACAAAAAAATTACTAAAAATAATATGACGGTGTTTGGAATATTGTGTGGTATGTTAATGCCAGTGTTTTGATTGGCCTAATGTTAAATGTTTGAACCACCTCCAGGGATAATGGGGGTCCCCAGTCTCTAGCACTGTTATAGTTTGGGTTACAGGCTGAAAAACGTTAGGACCGCCTGGTCTAACTCAAGGGAACTAAACTTGATGTATTCATAAAGAGTAGTATAGTTATTCAGAATGGATTAACATTTCAGGGAACTTATAAACAACTTTTAATGTAGTTATAACTTATTTAATTTTCATTGCGTTTACTTGTTTGTTTTACTTTATTTAGGCTATAGCCACAGGTAATGAAGCACAGATGGAACATGCAATAGTAAAAGAAAACCAAGGAGATAATAATTGACTACAGGAAAAAACACCCCACAACAGTCTGCACATAAACCAGGAAGAGGTGGAACATGTCTCCAGCTTGAAGTTCCTGGGAGTGCACACCTCAGAGGACCTGAGCTGGAGCCTCGACACAGCACACCTGATAAAGAAGGTACAGCAACGCCTCTTTTTCCTGAGGACCCTAAGGCGCAACAGACTCCCTCGCGATCTGCTGTGAAGAACTTTTACTGCTGCACAATCGAGAGCATCCTCAACCCATAAACACCCCCCCCCCCCCCCAAAAAAAGACGGGAATACAATGTGCAATAATTACCCAACCGCTGCTAACTGTTCAATATTACTTGTGCAATAACTTTGTAATTCACTGCTTTACAATTGTCTATTTATTTATTTATTTATTTATTCATTGCACTGAAACAGTTTATTTACTCATTCAGTCACTGCACAATAATAACTGTATATACTCTGTCACTGCACCATAACTTCACTTATTTGCACTATATCTCTATATTTATCTTTGTTTAATTAATCAGTCACTGCAAAATAATAACTGTATATATTCTTTCAGTCACCACGACTGTCTATTTATTTATTATTATTATCATTCATTCACTGAACAGCAATTGCTCTGGCCACTTTTTACATACTTCTCTCTCATATCACCACAAATATGTTTTTGTTGTTGTTGTTTTTGTAAACGCTGCTGTTTAGGATTGCTGCTAACGAAGTTTCGTTGTGTCCTTGTATACAATGATAATAAAGATTCTATCTATCTATCAACTTAAAGCACTTTGTATGCCAAGAGCCGGAGGCCCTACTGGGGCCCTGACTTATGTGCTCACATCGGACACACAAAGATTAATTATTTACCCTTTCTAAACTCATCAATAATATCTACTCTATAACACAAGATATTGGCAACATTAGCATATTTATATATGACACAAAAAAGATTGTCGTTCAAAGTCAAATACTCCTGAAAATGTTCGACATTTTTGAAGCCTAAATTTTCAACATTTTGAACACATTTCCAGTTAGTTCATTGCAAGTAATACAGAGTGTGCATTTATTGTCTTATTAAATAGATGTGCACACAAAGTACTTGCAGCATTTGCAAAAAAACAACTTAATAGTTAGTAATATAGAGTACATCCAACCTCTGAATGGGCAAATAACCAATCACAATTAAGGATATTTGGGGTGGCCAAGCATATTTCTTAAGGGTGGCCATGCAATCCCCCCCCCCCCCCCCGGACATGCCCCTGGCCTAGAGTGTAACAAATGTTCCTCAAACAAAGGACAATGGACCTTCACCATATAGGCACCTATACGAGCTGTGTGCCCTCTGGATGTTACACAAACACATGTATGGTTTAGTCACTCATCTTTCACTTATCTCTTGAGTAGTTGGACAATGGGAATCCTTAATAAAGCCTAATAACCCAACTTCTACTTTGAGTCAGTCTCCCCTGCAGCAAAGCTTTAACCTAATTGGCTGCCTTTGAAATGTAGTGGAGTAGTAGGTTTAAAAAATGAACTTTAAACGTAAACACTTGAGTAATGCACACATTTTTACTTCGTAGCACAACCATAGAGTAAATGTGTGAAACTGTGAATCATTTCCCCGCTGCTGCTGATGAAGTTGTGTGTGTGTTGTAAACTTTGCACGACATCTATGGAGTTAGATCAGTCTCAATATTCACAAATGCACACAGAAGGATTCACAAATGTATTTCAATGCACACACAAAATATATTTCATTCTATATTAATGTAAAAAAAATCCACAAATTAAAAAAACAAGATTCATGTATGAGAGGTATTAAGAATCCGCTAAAGGGTGGCAGGAGTCACCTCAGGGTGTCGGGTCAGGACATTATTTTTGATGTAAGGTGTGAGCGGGAGATGCAGAACAAAGACTAACCTGAACAGGCCTTTTTTACAATTCACAAATGGATTTCTGATTCACACACAAATATTTATAGTTTTGTATATATGTAATAGAAATCCACAAATGTATAATATACATATATATTTAAAAAAAACACATTTGTATCTTGTTACACAAATGACAAACAGTTTGAAATATATATGTATATTAAATGTATTGGTGTTTTGTACAGAGCAAAGGACAGTTTGGATTCTGCTTCTCTCCATATGTTGTACTGTTCGCTTATTCTTCCATATTTCACTTATTGCAATGAAGTATGTGACCAACACTAAACCTTTGTTTGTGTTACAGAAAAGAGTGATCAGACTTATAAACAAACGTTAGAGAACATACTAACAGACTGTTTAGAAGCTCACGTGTGTTGAAATTTCAGGATCTAGTTCACTTGAAAACATTATTAGTCATGTTTAAAGCTAGAAATAGATCATTACCCGAAAATGTACAGAAGTTGTTTGTATTTACATCTAATGAGGAGGATCATAGACGGAGATTTAATTTTAAAAGTCCATTTGCACACACTACATTACAACAAATGTGTATCTCAGTAAATGGAGTTAAATTATGGAATTCTCTCGATAATCATTTAAAATGCTGCTCAAGTATCATTCAATTTAAAAGAATGTATAAAGAAAAGGTTCTGGGGAATTCTGAATGCATTGAGTTAATCTAACTGATTGTTTCTATATTGTTGATCTGATTTTTTGTTTCGTGAAAGAAAGAGAAAACAAACAGGTTAGCCATCTTATTCTGTTAAACAGTATCTTGTGTTATTAGGAAAGGGGGGGGCAGGTATTACAAGTTTTCTTCTTCCTGCTCCTGTTTGCTCATGAACAGTGTTTCAGCATTATGAGAAAATGTTTTTGTTGTGTATTATGGTGTTGAAACCAAACACTGAACTGAGCAATAAATCAAATATGAAATGAAATATGAATATTATACATTTGTGGATTTCTATTACATATACACAAAACTATAAATATTTGTGTGTGCATTGAAATCCATTTGTGAATCTTATTTTTTAATTGGTGGATTTGTTTTACATTTATATAGAATGAAATATATTTTGTGTGTTCATTGAATTTCCATTTGTGAATCCTTCTGTGTGCATTTGTGAATACTGAGACTGATCTAACTCCATAGACATCCTGCACACCTCTTGGAGCACCCTAGTTGGACACTGACACCCGGATGACGAGCACCTCGATAACACTGTTGATTCTGACTGTGCAGCAGCAGCTCACAGTTTTGAAAGTGTCCTCGGCTGCTCCACCCGGCAGCAGCCAATGGAGGCGAGGGGCGGAGGGCAGCCACTAGGGGAGTTGTCTCCTGCTTCCTCATCCTATTGGGCTGTCTTAAAAAAGAGCAAACTCGCTTCTTCCTCGTCTGTCCCACACCGAGCCCCCGCCCCCTCCTCCTGCACCAACAGAAATAGCAGAGGTTTGGCAGAAAGAGCACTTCCAGTAGTGAGAAGTGAGGACACATCAGCAACATTTTTTTTTTTTTAACTGTCATAGTTTGAAGCCCAACTTTTCTCACTTTTTTCAACACAGTGCACACTCCCCCCCTCAAAAAAAAGGCTTTTGTAAATAACACTGAGTTAGCTCGGAGACGTTTCATCTGTTTGACTTTTTGAGGGAATGGCATTGGACTTCGCTGCGGGCTGCATTGGAGGTAAGTAAAGCCGGCCACGTTAGCAGGGGGGTTAACAAGTTGAAGCTAACAGGGTAGCATTAGCATTCAAGGTGCGTCTCCAAGCAACGCGTGGGCAGCTCGAGCTGTGAAGTAAAGTGAGTTTCCGGTCTGTGCAACATAATGAAACATGTAACAGTGTGGTATAACAACTTGGTAACATTGTAGCATTAAGTTATGTTGCAACACGGGACGTATCTTTAAGGTTGTGATGTTGCATTCCACACCTGTGACACACACACACACACACACACACACACACACACACACACACACACACACACACACACACACACACACACACACACACACACACACACACACACACACACACAGCAGGGAGTGGTCCTGTGTTGTTATTCGTAATATGACATGAGACATCTGGGAAGTATATTTAAACTCAAAAAAGAAAACGAAAGTGTCTTAACAGAGTGTCAAAAACAAAACTAGGAAATGGCAACATCTTTTTTTTTTTCCTCCCCACACGAGGTGTCATTACACAGCCGTATGCAAAACACATCATACCTGCTTAGGGAGTCACCCCCCCCCCCCCCCCCATGCCCTGTTTGAATGGAGCCTCACCTTAAAGCTTCTGGGAATCTTGGCAGCTGTTTTGTTGAAGGCCAGGTACTCCCAATTTTGTTTTAGCACACCAAGGGACTCAAATAGTTTCACTTCAGAGCATAGTGGTTTTTTTTTTCTTCTTAGTTGTTATCTTTACTGTGACATCAAGCAGATCTGGGATAATAATCGGTCAAGCATACATCATTAACATTTTGTCAGTGTTGGAAAATGTCATTTTATTCAAAGTATTTTTGCACACTAATGTTTATGTGCAACAGAAATGCAGGGGAAAGAAGTCACACATTTGTAATATTAAATAACCATACAACATTTAGGTGTTTCTCAAAGTTAAAAGAGCCTTACTCTTTATTTTCAGGGATTAAACAAAGTCCACTACATGTTGCTGGTTTAGAAAGTCTGTCAAGTCAAAGCAAACATTTTGCCCAGAGTGTTACTGTAGTTTTATACGATCCCTCTTGGCTGACAGGTTGACTCAGTAAGTAATGGTGGTGTGATAGATTTTTGGCTTGTCTGTATATGTCAAGGACAGGCTGCTGGGGATCTTTCGTCACTGAGTACAGTGCAGTGACCAGCTGATCAGCCTGGGGGGGGGGAAGGGTCTGTTTGCTGTTCCCACGTCAGAGGAGCCTCTTGATCATAAGCAACCTTTTTTTCTCCAAAATGAGACTTGTGACTGTGACGGGTTCGATGACGAGGCCGCACTTCAGCTGTTGTAGGAAGATGAGCAGTAATCACGTTTTGTTCTGTAAAATCTTCATCTGGTCTTTTGCATTTCAGGTGCTGCTGGTGTTTTGGTTGGACATCCGTTTGACACTGTGAAGGTGGGTGTCTTCTTTTCTGTCCTGTCCATTGTTTACTCATGTTAGGCAATGTAATGATCCAGCACTTGACTGTGAATTTAGAAGTCTCTGTGGTAATTTCCATGTCTCTGTTCGCTGCTTGAATTTAAATCCAGGTATGCTTGCAGTAGGTTTGTCATCCTTCGCCATGATTAATAAAACTTGGGCAAGAGGATTATGTGAGCACAGACAGTCGAAGATACTTCATCTCGTTAGATCATGTTTTAAATATTGGGGCCCAACCGATATGGAATTTATGGGGCCGATACCGATATCGATATTGGTGAGAGAACAAATCTGATACATATATATCAGCCGATATCTTTCTTAGATGTATGAAATCTGTAGAGATAGATAGATATATAAATGTACACATTAATTGTGTTGATCCCTCCAGTGCAGTCAAACACTTCTGGAAAATATATATAATAAAGACAAGATGGTAACTCAACTAAAAAAGTAATTGCGCTTGTACGCACATCACAGCTTGACACTCTGGAGGATAATGCTTGTTGGAATCCACACAGCGCCCTCTGCTGGTGAAAGAGAACTGCCAGTGTAATACAATAAAGACCAAATGAAATGATATTTGACTGCTGAAAAAATCGAGTAATATCGGCGCATATTTGTGATAAAATTAGCCGATACCGACAGTCCCTGTATATGATTAAAATTAGTCGATATTATCGGCTGGCGGATAAATCAGTCGGGCTCTAATATGTATTATAGCTTAAAAACCAGAGGAGAAGCTTTTATAAATTCTAATGAAACTGACATTAATTGGAGGCTTCAGTAACCAGCTGTTGCATTTATTGTTTTTAAGTGTCACAGAAAGTCACAGAGATTCAAACGTAAGTGAACTCTGAATCCAGCATTTCTTTATCAGAACGACATTTTGATAAAGTCACAAATGCACGGTTACAAAAAAAGATCACTATGTTTCTATTATGTGTGGTTTCAAACGTCGCATGTCTCTTTTGATCGTCTGAAACCAGAATTTGCATGTAAGGCTGCAGTCCTTCAGTCTGCGTTTCTGAAGCATTCACTTCCACTGTTTGAATGTCAAAGCCGGTAAATATAGCAACTCGAGTCGTTTGAAAATGACAGCCTTCACTGACATAAACACAGAGATGGTGAATGGTCAGGTTGTCGCTCTTTTTATACTTTTGCTTTTCAATGTCATTTCTCTTCTGAGCCCGTGTCTGTGGGGGGCAAGCTGTCTTTAACAGCAGCAGTGTCACTGTGTTGTAGATGAGAGAGAGAAATAAACAACCTCTCCATGGAAATGTGACCTAGTAAGTATGGTCAAGGTCTTTTCTTTCACCCTCCACTTTCCCCTCATGTCTTGACCTGTAGAAATAAAAGGAAAAAGATGTTTTGTATTTTTTATTGAACTCCATTCTCGGTTAATTTTCTCTCCCTCATATTGCATCCTTTTTTTTCCACCCTGATTTTAAAGAACTATTTAAAATCTCCTTTTGCCTGCTTGTACATTTAAATATGTATCACCATATGTGCTGTGTGGCCTCTTTGTCCGTGTTTCTTTGTTACACAACTTTGAAACGAGTTCTGTCGTCTGCAGGTGAGACTTCAAGTTCAAAATGTGGACCGACCTCTGTACCGCGGGACATATCACTGCTTCCAGTCAATCATACGCCAGGAATCGGTACGCTTGTTTATTTTATTTGAAATGCCCTAAATGTTTGACTTGTTTTTGGATCAAATGTTGTCACAGCCGTTATGCAATGTGTGCATCATCGCCATGTGCTGCACAGCTCTCCGTGCCAATGTGATGCATTGCCACTGCCCTGATTTTTAGAGAGTCGGGTGTCAAGTCCTGCAGACTTCAGCCAGCAGGTTCCTAACACGGGATGTTAGGGGGGCGCGTGTGTGTGTGTGTGTTAGCCAGGGTCAAAGAGGACCTTATTCCTGCCACCGGCTAAATAAAGCTTTGGACACGTTGCCTTTTGAGCCAAGCGGAGTAAGCTTGGTCTGAGTGAAATCTCAAGTTTCACATGGAAGTATTAGATTGTACTCCTCTAGTAGTTGAACATTAAAAAGCACGGTTTTCTCTTTCAGCGTCATTTAAAATCAACCAGGTTATTCTTTCATCAATGAATATCTAGTGGGTCGTTGGCAGATTTATAGTTGAAGGATTTAAAGAACATCCTGCCCCACCAAAGCTTCCCACCCAGCCCCCAGAATATAAATCATCTTGGGTGATAACTCAATAGCTAAGCTGAAATACTCGATTAGGTTAATGGGAGAAATGATATTTCCCTTTTGACATCACTACTTCACATCAGGCTTGACAGCTGTCACGCTCATATGGAAGCATATTTTAAAGTCTCTCTCTCTCCCCCCCCTCAGTGTTTGTCAAGAAAAAGCTGGCCATTATGCAAATGTAGTCGATGGCTCGTGATTTAAAGGATTTCATTTCACTTTGACTGTACAGGACTTTTTTTTATTCAGGACGTTAGTCAGGAAGTGTTAGTACAGGCACTTTACAGATTCCAGTAACTTCAGCTGACTTTCTCTTCAATCTTCCCTTTTTACAAGAAACACAACTGGTGTTAATCACAGTTGTTTTGGAGCTTTAAATATTCTTCAGGATTTCTTAATCTGCCATGTGCATCATGAGTCAGAACATAATGTGAGCTCATCAGATGAACACATTTCTTATTTGTAAAATAGAGTTATCAATCGTTTTAATCGTTTAAAGTTTTGGACATTAAATAGTCATTTCACATTTAAGACTTAATAAGATACGATTCTCTCAAAATGAAACTGTAGACAAATGATGAGTGAAAAAGAAACCCACTCGTCAGTGTGGTTTGAACTTTTTGTAATGTTTGTTTTTCTCAACACGGGGAGGTGATTGGAGCGTCTTGTTGTGGTCTGGGTTAAACGCTGCATCATGTTGTTTGTGCTGTTTGTGTAGTTCCCCGTCTTCTTGCACTATTTTCACACAGTTTTTATCTCGTCTGTTATCTTCTCACCTCGGGGGTGTTGGGGGGCCAAAATGCTTTCACACTTCCGGTTTAAAAGACGGTGGTGCGTCCTCAATTTCTAAATCTACTAGCCTCAACTCTCACCTTATTTTTCAGAGTACCGATGTGACTCTGGACACCTTTGAATCGATTTATCCCAATTTTACGATTAAAACTTTACATCCCTTAGACTCGACACATTTCTCCACTCTGCAGCTCAAGCTGACTCAAAATGACGACATTCACTGGAGTGACTTCAGGAAGTAATTAAAGGAATACAGTGTTCCAACTCAATTGATGTATTAGTATGAATTAATTTCTAGGTCCGAACGATCAGATTTATCTTTCCTACCTTCAGAAGAGATCCTGATGAGTGATAATAATCTCTTTGTGTGTCTGCAGATGCTCGGTCTGTACAAAGGCATCGGCTCTCCAATGATGGGCCTGACCTTCATCAACGCCATCGTGTTCGGCGTCCAGGGCAACGCCATGCGAAAGCTCGGCCGCGACACGCCCCTAAACCAGTTCTTGGCCGGAGCGTCCGCCGGCGCCATCCAGTGTGTCATCTGCTGCCCGATGGAGCTCGCCAAGACGCGCATGCAGCTGCAAGGGACCGGGGAGAAGAAGTCCAAGAGGAAGCTGTACAAGAACTCCCTGGACTGTCTGGTGAGGATCTACAACAAGGAGGGAATCCGCGGCATCAACCGCGGCATGGTGACCACCCTGCTGCGCGAGACGCCCGGCTTCGGGGTGTACTTCCTCGCCTATGACACGTTGACGCGCTCCCTGGGCTGCGAGCCGGACGACCCCTTCATGATCCTAAAGCTGCTGTTTGCCGGCGGGATGTCGGGGATCGCCTCCTGGATCTCGACCTATCCCGTGGATGTGATCAAGTCCCGTCTTCAGGCGGACGGGGTCGGCGGGGTCAACCAGTACAGTGGCATCATGGACTGTGTGAGGCAGAGCTTGAAGAAGGAGGGCTGGAGGGTGTTCTCGCGCGGACTCACGTCCACTCTGCTGCGGGCGTTCCCGGTGAACGCGACCACTTTTGCCACGGTGACCCTGTTTCTAATGTACATGCGGGAGGGACAGGAGTGTAGCATCCAGGACTCGGAGCTGCAGGCCGTCCAGCTGCAGACGCAGACGCAGCCGCTCGCTCAGCAGTGAGCGCCGCCTCGGCCATCAGCTGATCCATCCAGTTCGTTTAAACTTCATGCAGGTCTATGATCTGTTCACCCGGTGTCTATAATCAGAGAGCTGGACTGATCCCAGGTAGGCATCTGCCCATGGAGCATCAACAAAGTGACCACATGTAGTATTTAAATAATATATATTTGAAGAGAAAAAGCTGCATTTGTAAATATGGTCTATTTTTAAATGTCATCGGTTTTATATACTTGTTTTTGAGTTTTTCAAACTTGATGGTTACAGCGGTTCCTGTATCACACTAACTGTACAGCGAGGGTTAGAGATGTGAGAGTCAAAGAAACACTTTGTCTTTAATTCTGCGCTCAGGTCACACTGGAGTCTGTTACGAACCCGTCTCCACCATCAAACATTCACTCACACGTTATTGAATACATTTTTGTAAACATTAATGGGTTTGCAGTTTGCACTGTTTCTATTTTTGCAAACTAACCACGGTGAAATGATTTGTGATTGAAATATTTTTAAATGAATTTTTCAAGCCGTTTACCGGTCCAGTGTGAACCTGGCATTTTTAGACCCTGTGTCCATCTAGCATCCTTATTCTGGGCAGGAATCTCTGGTCCTGAAGCGTTTGTGCGCTGAGAAGAAAAAGCGCTGCATGTCCGTCCTGTCGCTATGACAACAGTCTGTTAACAACGGCTGCTGTATGACCAACACTGCTCAGTTACTTTCTACTGTATGTTTTAGAGGTGAGATCGTTTATTTCCCCGATCAGACCCGGAGCGAAGAGGATGTGGGTACAAGAGATAATCTGTATCTGTATCTGTAGGCGGCAAAAATACAGGAAATGTCATACATTTGGAAAAGAGAGCCGGAGACATCAACAGCGCCTTTCTGAAAAGTTGAAAGATCTTTAACTTGAGCGCTCGGAGCGGCCGCACAAAAAAGCAGAGCGGAGCACTCGGGAAAATAAAAAGACGCTAGGTGGACACGGGGCCAAAGTGATTAATTGTAAATGTTACAAACACAAAGAAAGCCTACTGTCAACATACATGCACATGCTCCGTCTGCCTGTACATTTATCTGAATATCTTTGAGGATACAGCTGTGTATATAAAATGTTACAAAGGGAAGCGGCTGGATGTTTGAGCTGCGGATGTTGTCTGATGTTTTAATTCTGAGGTTATTCTGTGTGTGTCTCAGCTCTTTGTCTTCTCAAATGATCTTCTTTGGATCCTGACCGTCATGTAGAAACAAGCTCAGACGTCGCCTCGTTGTCGGGCGACATGAACAAGTTATCGCACATTCTTTTGTGATCGAGACTGGTTTTCCCACGACACAGTTGTTTTCTGAAAAAAACGTGACGCAGATTTTCCTTCGTTTTGGTTGGACATCGTTCAGTGTCCAAAGACGGCACCTTATGGTTTGACCACTAATGTAAGAATGTGTTACAGCGTAAATGGATGACTTGTTAAAAGTGGGTTTTTTTTTTTTTTTTGGGAAGCAAAATGGGTTTTAAATCTTTCTTCGTCTGGAGTCAGTGGACGTTACAGCTCATCCTTTTTAGCAGCTATTTTATTTTAATTTGTTGATTTATTTTGGGGATTTTTATGCATTTGTTTTAGAGACAGGATGACAGTGGATAGAGTCAGAAATCAGAGAGAGAGAGAGAGAGGGGGAGTGAATATGAAAAGTTCACCATTAAAGATAGAACCTAGTTTTCATGCTGATGGTTCTGTTTGCTCTCAGCTTGTAAATCTGACTCACATGGCTTTTTAAACCACAGCACAGGAGCTAAGGACCCCTCTGCCCCCCTCTGCTCACCAGGACTATCGTGAGAGGTCAAAGGGCAAACACAGTAAGAAACACTTCACAGTCTGGAGGTATAAAGCATTGACCATGATTGCCAAATAAAAGCTTAATACTGCAGGTTGCTCGTGTTACTTAATGTGGTGAAGCTGTATGACTCGTCCACCTTCACGTCTGTTTCTGCAGAACTGAAGCTGCTGTTACTTCTCTGCAGTCTGAGTTGCACACATGAAACTGTCTTTTTTTTTTTTTTCTTACAAAGACATAATAATGTGCATTCTGTGAATTTTTCCCAGGTCATCCTTGAAGAGTAAATGTTTTGGAAAATGTCAAGATTGACTGTAATTACATTTGTGTGTTTGTCTGCTTGGTCTTCTATTTAATCATGTACATGTGTCTTGGCTTTACCGGTGGAGGGTCACGTCTCTCTGTAAAGTCTTTCATTGTGCCTTTGTCTTCTGCACTTGTCCGTGTACAATATCATGCCCCAAAGCAGCATGCAAAATATGAATACTTTTAAAAAGAATGGTGAATAAAAGCCACATTCTTCAGGTCTTTTTGGCTGTTTTTTTTTTTTGTTTTTTTTTGTACAAAAATGTCAAACTGCACGCACATCTGAAAAGTTGAGGACTGGGTGCCGGACAAAAAAACACATCAGGTACCTTTCTTGCTTAGTAAATGTTTATTGTTTCTTGCTTTGTATCACATGACCTGTCAGGTGACCTCTGGGGTTGTATATAATTTATGTGGAGGTGTGTCTACTCACTTGTTCAGGTCTGATGAAGGCCGAGGGCTTGAAATGTTAAATGTGGTGATAATAACCATCAAATGTTAATTGGAGCAGCGTCTGGCGTGCTGACTTTGTCTTCCTCCGTCTTTGGGTAGTTGTTTTTACCTCTATTGCTTTAGACCAATCAATTACATTTTATTTAATAAAGTTTAATGAAAAAAAGTTTGGACCCCAGGTGATACGAAGCATGATAGAACGAAGAAACTGAACAAAACCAACTTGTTAAAAAAAAAAAATGCTTCATAGACTTTATGACAGCATTTTTCTGTCAGGCACACCTTCGATATCCACTGAAAAGAGCTCCATGACCCACTTTTGGGTCCCGACCCACCAGTTGAATACCACTGCTGTAGCCATTCATGAGTTCTATTACCGTAAAAAAGTTGCAGGGCTGAACACAACCTTCAGCAGGACAAATGATGAGTAGATTTGTTTTAGGCCCTTGAGGTAAGAAAGACTGCCCTCTAGTGGTTACTGAGGAGCAGGTGTAACTTACATTAGGAGCTTAAAGTAGATTTGAAGCTTGATCCAAAGGTTACTGGCTTTGGATGAAGTCCAGTAACCTTTGGATCAAGCTTCAAATTCACCATGACCAGGAGCTTGAACTACTCAGCAGGATCACTTCAGGGTTAACCCTGGTGTTTCAGTCCTACGCAGGTCGTTCACTCCTTAGCTGGGTATATCGCCACGGTAACTCATGCTGCACATCTCGATGAGAGATCAACCTGTGAATCCGTATGATTTGACACAAAGCCCTTAAAATGAAAGATTACTGACATCATCCTTCATCCTTCATCACACCGGAGCCTTTTAGTCGTGTTTTTTAAGATGTTAAATTACAAACAGCCTTCTTCAAAAACACTTTTAACACAAATGTACAAAAATATAATTTATTAAGGACATCCGTCATCATATTAAAGTCTTTGAGGGTAGATTTGATAACAAATGTATTCATTATTTTGACAAAAGCAATAAGTTATTCAAGCGTCAGTCATATAGATTCTTATGATCACAGACACGATTTATGTTCAAAAGGAAACACCTCTCACCCAAATGATTTGAAGAAATACTAAATCAAATAGTTCACAGTTTGCTCTAAATGAAGACGTCTGTGGTTCCATATAAAGTAAATGGAGTTGATTTGTGCTCCTTTTATTGTGCAAGAAGGTTGGAACCCTTGTCCTGAGGCTCTCTGGCACAGTGCAGTGACTGTGGTGAAGGTGTCATGATGAAGGAGAAAGAAGAGCAGGGGATGGAAAGATGCATCGTCTCCCCTCACCCTGCTAGCTGCTGCTGCTTCTTCCAGATTTGGACGTGTGCATGAGGAAGGAGTCGCAGGAGTACCGCAGGAAGCGATAGACCTCCTCAGCTCTGGTTCTGCCCATACAGCCGCCCTTTTGTACGTCGTCGACGGAGCTGCAGGAGGAGCAAAAAGGAGGATTTTACACCGTGTAACGTTGTGTTCTTGTTTTGCCATGTTAGATATAAAAACACACTCTCTCTCTCTACCTGTTAATGAGTTGGGCGATGGAGCTGAAGTTGTGGCTCATGTTGAGGGCGTGGGCGTAGTTGACTGAGGGGAGGCTGGAGTACAGCTGCAGGGCCTGCTGCCTGTGCTGCCCTTTGACCTCCAGAGGCACAGCGATGCCCTGACCTTTGCGCTGCTCCAGCCGCGCCAAGTCCGCCAGCAGGCCGGCGCTCTCTTCCGGGCTGCTGCTCCACAGCAAGCGCACCCCTGTGTTCACCAGTGCTGTCAAAGTGCTGTCATAGAAACGAGTTCGCTGGAAGGGACGTGATGTCTCACCTGAAGAAAATTAAAAAAGAGACTTTATTGAGAACATAATTGTATCATTTCACCTCACCAGCTATCATATCAAGACAAGCTGAATACATCAACACTTCTTACTGACCTGGCTTTGTTCTGTCCTTCTCCACTATCAGACAAACGCGCTCGAACGATCCCTGCAAGCCGTTCAGCCTTTCGGCCAATCGCTTCCTGTTCGGCATCGAGGCCAAATCCGATTGGCTGTGCCTCTCCGCGGCCATTCGGTTGCTGACGATGAAGTAGCAGCCGTCGAGCGAGCAGACGTGGACGGTGGCTGCGTGACGCTGACGCAGGCAGGACATCAGATCCACGCCGTTGCTGATGCAGCGACTGTCGGCCAGGATGCTGACGGGCCCGGGCGGAGCGGGAGACGCACTGACGGGCGCATCGGGGCCAGAGGAAGACTGAGGAACCGAGGAGGTGGAAGGAAGGGCCTGGACAAAGGACAACAACCATTTTTACCTGTTGAATACACCCTTATTCATGTATCTTATTTCATTCCTGTTATAGATTCCTCATTCTGAATCTGGTTCTGATCAGAGACTGATTTATGAAGTCATATTCAAGTTTGCTGACTCATGTCTGAGACCCAAAGCGTTGATGTGTGTGTGTGTGTGTGTGTGTGTGTGTGTGTGTGTGTGTGTGTGTGTGTGTGTGTGTGTGTCTGTGTGTGTGTGTGTGTGTGTGTGTGTGTGTGTGTGTGTGTGTGTGTGTGTGTACCTGTACCTCTGTTTGTTTCTTGGAGGACAACAGCGACTCCGGCTCTGCAAAGTCCAGTTCATCAGAGAGCAGATGCTGATTTTCGATCCTCTGGCGACACCTGCAGGAGAAAGATAATAATGCTCTATTGTACCCATTCCCAAAATCTAAGAACTCGGCTGCCCAATTTTAAAGTCTGGAAACATTCTTGGGACCCCCGAAAACATTTAAATCACACAACTCTGACCAATACCTGAGACTTAGATGAAAGATTTCTGAATAAATCTATGTTTGTATTTCATTATTACATGGACAAAAAAATGCTTCACAAAGTGAAAACAAATGAGTGTGAAAAGTAAACTTAAAACTGAAAAATTCAAGTCTTCTTTATTCATTATAAATGACCCCTGAAGTACCTTTAGGGCCCACTAGGGTGCTGCAGCACACAGTTTGGGGAGTAACTCCTCTAATTATTGATGGCTGAGTTTAAATGTTTAAACAGACCTGCTCCTCAGCCTTTGTGGAGACACACACAGAGACTACAGGGCCGCAGCAGAGCAGCTTCAAGAGGCAACTGTAAAGTTTCATTTTGCAAAGAAAATTTTGCTTAAACAGCTTTTTCTGTGAAAGGAGTAAAATCCTGGAACTTGCTGCAAACTTCCCCACTTTTAAGAGAGCCACCAAATCCTGGTTAGTTCAGCAACAGACTTGTACTCATGTTTCATTGTTTGTAGCTGTTTGAGCCCGACCGATTTATCCACAAGCCGATAGCATCGGCCGATATTAGCACATCAAGTCACTATCAGTATCGGCTAATTTGAACGCATATATGCGCTGATATTTGTAGATTTATTCAACAGTGAAATAGTCTTTCATTTGAGTATCACTGTATTACACTAGCAGTTCTCTTTCTGGCTGAAGAATGATGATGCTCGTTGTAATCCATTTAGCACACTTTTCTGGTGACAGAGTGTCAACCGGTGATGAACGTACATGCACAGTTACTTTTCCAGTTGTGTTTGATAACTGCATTTGAAGTATCAACGCAATAAATGTATATATCTATCTCTACGAATAGAAGATCTAAGAAAAAATAGATCAATATATCAGTATCAGATGTTTTGTCTCCCAAATATCGGCCTGGCCCTAGTTGCTCTATCACAGCTAAATGTGTCTTATTGGAACTTGCTGTACCCAGTTTACGCTCTATTTTTCTTTTTTTAACTGTTCTAATCTTTTATCTACACAAAAGCCTTTCTAGAGACGAGTGTTGCTCATTAGCATTAGCTTAGAACACTGTGATACTTGCATTGGTTTTCTGCTTTTGGTTTGTGTTTTTGTAACTGTACACATTTTGTTACCTCTCGTTTTGCTTCTCTGTAGTCATGGAGCTTCTCTGTGCCTTGCTCAAAATTGAGAGCTTTGAAGCTATGGTTGAAGACGAGGAGAAGGTGGAGGTGGAGGTGGTGGTGGTGGTGGGGGGTGGGGGGTCTCTCCTGCTGCTTCTCCTGAGGTCTGCTTGGCTCTAGTCGTACCGTCTTTGGCCACAAGGGTGCAGCAAAGCCCCCTTCTGTTACAACCCTTTTCTTGTCATCCACTTCCTCTGCCTCCTCCTCACTAGAATCCTGAACACGTATGACTCTGGAACGCTTTGAGTCCACCGCAGCTCTCTGCCTCGGGACGGACTCGGCTGCAGTTTTTACTCCCGCTCTGGCTTTGTGAATGAACACACGCCGTCTGGTAGCGTACTGCCTCCGCCCGTCCACATACGAGTCCTCAGGCATGAGCTCAATGTCCTCCGCGCCGTCTTCACTGCTCTCCGCCTCCTCCACCTCATCCACCTCATTTCCAACCACAAAGCTGTCCTCTGCGTATGACTCATCGATCTCAGGCACCTGGGACCAAAAGGATGATCAATAATAACCCAATATTTCAATAAAATTACATTTTGTTTTAATTTGACTAACATTCGATCTACATTCTCTCAAGAGACTTAATATACAAAATACCTGAGAAAAAATGTCCATGTTGTGTTGATTTCTGTAGGACATTTTGAACTTGCCGTGGACAGCAGGGCTTCTCACCGACTTCAGGTAAACACCGCACATCTCAGAGTCTGACAGAGAACAGACAGGTGGTTTAAAATCATCCCTCCATTTATCCTGATAACTTCTAAAAAAAAATACACTTCTAAGAAACAAGGTTATTATGTTTAACCAAAACTTACAAATAATGGAGACATAAACAAAAATTAAAATACAAACAAGGCCTTAAAAGAAAAACTATAACAAAATGAAACTGTATTGTCTGCTTTCAAAACTAACTAAAATCAAACGTTAGACAAAATGTCCTTGGTTTCGTCTTTGACACAAACATACTGAGAGACACTCAGCCGATCCTTACGATTTGTCTCAGGTACCTCAGTTTATATTTTGGATGAGCTTCCTGACTCCAGAAGTTCAAACTTTTTTTGTTCTTTTACAATATTCTTTGGGTACCTGTAAGTTGCTTGATACCTTTCTCTGAACCATTTACAATACAAAACTAACAAACGATCATTAAAAGTCACATATTGTCCTCCTTTTCAACCAGTGTAAAAAAGTCTCAGATTGCCCCAAAAACATGTGTGTGAAGTTTCTTGTTTCAAATCCACTCTGATCCTGTATTTGATCATGCCTATAAACCCCTCTATTTAAGCCCTGCTCAGAACAGGCTGTTTCTGTGTCTGTACCTTTAAATATGTAAATTAGCAGTGTCTGACCACGCCCCCTCTCTGGAAGGGCTTGGGTGGCTCGGGCTTTCACACTCCGTGCCCTATTGTTTATGGTGAGAAGGCAGACTTAGAGGACAGAACAAACACCTAGCTGTGGGAGTGTCACCCACCTGGGGGAGGGGTTACTGCCCTTTGTGATGTCATTAAGGGAAAACCGCCACATGGCCTGTTTGAGCACACATTTTCTGAAAAGTGGAGCAGCCTGACTGAGAGGATGGACTGTTCTCATAACTGGGGGGGTTTGTAGCCAGACTAGAGAACAATGGTGACGTGATTTTGCATAATGTGACCTTTAAAAACTCTTTAAAACAAAAAGTCAAAATGAAATAGAATGAAAAATCCAAAACTATTAAAGCCTCACTCAGAAATACCAACGTACCATTTAGTCCCTGAGAAAAGTGTGTGTTGTTCACCACGAAGCCATCAAGAGACCGGTTCTGTTCGTCTCCGTCCTCTTCATCAGATGACACGTCTGCACCTCCTCCCCCTCCGACAGCTCCGCTTCTCGGTCCAGGAACTGGCGCCCTTTTCGGCTCGCAGCACGCTGAGACAGGAATGATGGAAAATGTCAAGTTTGACAGAAGCTGAAGGTGTTTGTGCAACCTAACGGATATTTATAGACGTGACATTTTTCTGTTGTTTGGAGGAAGACGGATGATTTTTTTGGGAGGGTGAAAGATAAAGCCGGTTTAAATGTGTTGTTTTTTTTGGAGGAGACAAACAGCGGTGGCTTCTTTTTGGGTGTTATTTTCTAAACCAGTCATCAGTAGGAATGAGACAAAAAAGTAACACATAAAACATCTCTCACAAAACAAGCAGGGAAGCAACAAACCAACACTATATTACATCTACACAGGTGCCGTTTGAGAGACTGTGTGATGTCAAATAATGAGAATACGACAGCAGCCTTGGGAGCCACCTGTTGCTACACACACCTTTGTTTTGCTCTGTTGGAATCGTTGTCTTTCAGCTGTCGTTGTTCTGAATGAAACCACGGACTCGTTCTGGAAGTCGTCATCAGACACAGCTCCGCTCTCCGTGTCATCAGACTGGAGACCAATGAGGAGAACAAATTAGTCCAACAAGTCCCTTTCAAACATCTGGTAAATGAAGCTGCATGTTATAAGGCCATTAGGACTGGAATTGAACCATTTTTATGTGATGCATGGAGTGCTGAGGTTTCATTTAAAACGAGTGATATTTAAAAACACAGAGCTCATGTGGCATGTGTTACTGCTATTAAAGAAAGTCTCACTGTGTTCAGAGCAGCTGCACGTCTCCTGTTCACAACGAGCGGGGAGTCCACGTCGCTGCAGAGCTTCGACTAACAGAGAAGAAACATGTTAGATTTTACACACACACAAGCACACACACACACTTGACCTTATGTGTGCTTTTTGATTTTTGTATGACTATTGCAACAACACTTAAAAAAAACAAACATTAAGATCTGAAGTGCTGCGTCACGGCTTGCAAGCTGGTTGCCATGACAACTGCACATACCCTACAAATGACATACAGCCTGAGCCGTATGAATCACATCTCTGAGGCAGAGTCTGACATCTTGGCTGCTGTTTGTTTGTTTGTTTGTTTGTTTGTTTTCTTTAATCAGAAATGGCTTCAGGTTCTGTTCCCTCCTGCTACGTTTATCTGAATAAAGGTGGTTTTAGAGACCCAACGAACCACAAAAAAATCCAAAATATATGTCAAATCTGAACCCCTGGGTCTGGATTTCAGTATAGGTAGTTGTCAGGTTATGGTTTGTCATAAAATGGTAGTCTGATCAAGTGTTGACCAATCACGTATCAGCAGCGGTTTTAGGTGAATGCAGAAAATAACAGCCCTGATTTGAGAGCAGAAGCAGGTGCTGATCTATTTATCTCAATAAATCAATACGTACATTCATGTGCAGCTAACCATCTGTTCCTCAACCTGAGCGGGTAATCTGTTTGACACCGTGTCATAAAAGCCATTCAGTGTTTTCCAATTTCCTAGAATGCATCAGAAACGGCCGGTCGGAATATCTGAAAATCTGGCTTCGCTTTTAAACCAAACACACTGTTGCTTTCTGAAGTTGCTAATCGAGCTGTAATCCGTTTGTGGTTTGCATCAGTCTGTTATTGAGAGTCTCCTTTGTTTTTTTTATCTGCTGGTTTCACAGCCTCTCAGTGAAGGAGACAGAAAGAGTCTGAACAGAGAGGTTTGAACTCATTTTGTAACCAGCAGATCCTCAGGAAGGCTGAATGTGTTTTAGCTGCTTCGGAATCCTAAATCGGTGTTTCCCAAACTTCAGACAGCTGGTAATGGGTTCTAAGATTAAAATTTACACTTACAAAAAATATTTATTATATCCACAGTAGAGGTGGGGGGAAAAATGAATTTTTTGTAAAAATCAAGATTCTTAGCTTGTGAGATTTTAAATACATTCATAACTTCCAAAAATCGTTTTTTTTTGCTCATCACTCACTCCCTGCTAAGTGCTAAGGCTAGCTCTTTACCTCAGTAGAATGCCAAATGGAGCAACAAGAAGAAGACTGTGTTTTGCCTTCCTTATGGCTGGTATGTTTGGATATGTTCTTTTAACTTTTATTGTGCTGTGAGTGTTTGGAATACAGTTCTGTTGGAAATGTTGTGACGCTGTTATCTTCTAACTCTGCTGTTTGTCCTTTTAACATTGACCTTTCCTTTCAGGATTTTTAGATTGACCTTTAGATTCTGAATCGAGCGTTGAACCCAAGAATCGAAAATTGAATTGTGAGACGCCCCAAAGATTCCCAGCCCTAATCGACGGGCTTGCTTACCACGTCTGGTGACGACAACAGGTTGGCTTTGTTCTGATGTTTTCTTTTCTGAACCACAATGTCCTCCTCACTGTCACTGTTGCACTCCACTAAGAAAGAAGAGGAGACAGACTGGTGACTGCAGGGTTACGATAGAAATAATTCATGGACATTTTAAGTGGACATTTTTCTTAAAGGACAAAAAAAAAAAAAACCTGGGTGATGATGATGAGGGGGAGAGTCAGCCACACAAACAGAACCTTGTCGTGAGCTTATTTCTACACATGAGACGGTGGGACTCTCGGGTCGTCTGCGCTTTAACCTGGAGCATGAAGATGGGCTGCGAGGCCTGGCGAGGCTGGGAATGAGCACCCGCCTCGCTCCGGGCGTGATGGGAGACGGGAGTTCACCGCCTTTTGACATTAAAGGCAGCGCCAGACGAGAGGATGTTCCTCTCCTCCCCTGCTCTGACAGCGTCTGCGGTGTAGATAACGTGGACGCGCTGGACTGCGGAGGTTTGGTTTGTCTATGAAACTTGTACGGAGTGGAGGAGTTAGACAAGGCCCTCTTTTTCAGCGGAGGAGAAGTAGGTGACGTTCTTTGTACAAAAACATCCTCTTCCACCTCTTCCTCGGATTCCTCAAAGGAGTAGCCGAGGTCAAAGTTGACGGGGAAGTAGTCATGGGATCCGTCCAATGAATCGGGATTTTGTTTTTTTGCCTCCGCAGTGCTGTGTGTATCTGTTAGAAGCCGGGCATGCCGAGTATGAGTTATGAGCTGTGTGCGTGCCGAGTCAGCCGCGTTTGTAGTGCTGCACGGGTTTGTCGGCGTCTGCTTATGCAAAAGGTTAGACGTCTTTATCGGGCTACGAGTGATGGCAGCGGCGTGAGGGGATTTCCCGGGTGTGACGCCGGGAGTGGAGACGTCCGGGATGGTCATCTGCAGGAACGCTTCATCATCCCCGAAGAGATCCATGCTCTCATCCATGTCGTTTGCTACACCGCCGTCCGTCAAAAGTGGCATTTTTTTGTCCTTTCTCGCATCATCCCAACACTCTTCCTCCTCCTCCTCCTCTTCAGCTTCCAAGGCAAAATCCAGCTGAAAATCGTTCATATTTTTATCTTCTCTCTCTTTGTTTTCTTCTTCTTCACCGAAAACTTCATCCCAGCTGGGACTGCCTGCTGCTCTGTTCCGCTCCGGCTCCTGACGAGGCCAATCGTGATCCATTATTTTACTCGCAGGAAGCACGTCGTTGTCCGCCCTTGGGGAGGCGTCTTCAGAGTCGCTAACCATCGCTTTGTAGTCGTCATCTTCCTCGTCGTCGTCGTCGTCTGCGCCCAGGGTAAAGCTCACCCTGAATGGCTGCTGAGGCCACGGAGGAGATGGAGGAGGCGATGGAGGAGGCATCCCTGCTTCTTCTAGATCATCCTCCAAAGACGGCGGAGATCGGGATAGGAGCTCAGCCACGTTGGCCAGGATGACCTTCAGCCTCTCATCTCGCCCCGGAGTGTGATTAACGGAGCGGGGATGAGGCGATGACGCCCATTTTGGAAGGTAGAACATCGCCTGAAGCTCGACATCTTCTTCCGTGTTAGAAATCAGCTGCGACAGTTTGTCTAAACTCACAGGCTCGTCCGACTTTATGACTCGCTTGTTGGAAATGAAAGAATCCTGGAACATGTTTGCTTCTGGACTGTGGTTGTTTGGCAGCAGATTGGAAGTCCCTTCACTTCCTGGGCGATCTGTGATGTCATCGCCTGGTGTATCATGTTGAACAGAGTGTGTTTGTTTCCCCGCAACAGATCCTGAAGTGACCCTTTTTTTGCGTGTGAAGTCACTGTGTTCTTCCTCGTCGACGCTGTCCAGATCAGAGAACGTGGAGTGCGATGGTTTGGGTTGCCTTTTGTTCGCTTTAGCGCAGACCTTCTGGGTTTTCTTCTTCTGTTTGTTCTTAACAACGCCGCCGGCATCTTCTTTTCCGAGGTAAGGAAGAAGCTCCTGTTCGTAGCGACACTCCCCCTAAACACAAAGACGGGAGAGTTGTGTAAGAAACGGTGAACCTGCAGGAGAGCCGAGGTAAAGGTTCTGTAATCAAATGGCCTGTGAGTTCATGCTCACACACTAACACAATCAGGAAGTGTCCCGTGAAGAGATGATGACTCGTCTGATGTAACGCTTTCCATTTATTTGGTTTTTTCCCCTAAAACTTCTAGGAACAGACACACACAAAAACTCAAAAACAAACACACACACACAAATCATCTAACACTTGCACACACACACACACGCAAAAACACACACACACAGACAACAGACACCCACACACACAAAAACACATACGCACAATCAAACACACACACACAAACTCAAAAACACACACACACACAAACTCAAAAACACACACACACACACGCACACGCACGCACACGCCCACAGCAATCATCTAACACTTGTCATCTGTGCCAACCATGTGACCTGGAAGTGATTCATTTTGAGTGGTATCCTGCTTGGGTCGACGGGGCGCCATCGAACCTGCGTCCAGCGGGAGGAAAATGCTCAGTGGGCAGAAAAGAAGAGAGAGAAAACAAAAAAAACCCTGTGTAGAGTGAAAGAGGCAAATCCTTCTATGGTCGTATTAAATGACGTTCATATAAAAGGAAGTGGTTTGATTTGGTTTGACAAATGGCCCGGAGCGTTGTTAAAACTGATAAAGACAGTCAACAAAAGGCGTTTTTATTTTGAGAAAATTTCTCATAATTCACATAAAGAACATGGCTGTTTTCAGCTGCACTCTCTACCACCCCTTTTTTTTGTTTTTTTAAACTCAGTGCTGATGCAACGCTGTGGATCTGATATTTTCTTTTTGTTAGAAATTCTTTTCACAATAACTTGATTTACTCTAATACAGTAATTCAGCAATTTGCCCATTTCCGTCATCCTGTCGCGGTTACTTAACCCTCAATACTCGGAGACAAACTGCTGGAACACGCTTTTTCACAGAAGCACAGAGAGGAGCCATTATCCAAGCGCCTCCCTTCCATGACGCTCTTGTTTTATTTTCTACCATAGCTTGTTGGATCTGTTTTCCACTGACTTGCTTTTCTTTCTTAGTCTCCCTGAAAAGGTTGCTTTTTTTTTTTGAGAATGAAAAAAATATTCCTCCTCCAGAGACAATCAGCTTTTGTACTGTAAAACAGTGTATCTCATTGTTTACCCCTTTGCAATAACATCTCAAATATTATTGTAGATTAAAAAATAATTTAAGTAAACAGCCAGGCCTCTGTCATGAGCCCTTCAAACACATGCACTCCTGAAGAATTTCTAGGAAATGTCAGGACAGAGTGTGCACACTTGACGCTGTGATTATTTCTAATAAATTGGTAATCTTTTCAAGGACAGAGAGACCCAAAATATTCCAGAGTTGCCCATTCGTACATGTCGCCTGAAGTGGAAGATATTCCCCATTCGACGGGGGGGACGGACGGACACTGTCTCACAAGGCAAGACATGAGGTAAAAAGAAGCACTGTCATCAAAGCGACAGTATAACAAAGTGGAGAAGAACATACTGCTGAACAGAGCAATGAAGCATCACATCAGTCATGCACTGGTAGCAGGATATAAGAGTCATCAGCCCCTCCCACTATCTCGCGGAAAGTCGTCCTGAATTTTAGTTCACACTTTGGCTCACCTCGACTTCATGCAGAAATGTTTTACTTGGAGGTTTGCGGGAAAAAAGTCCAAATTAATCAGGGTGAAAATTCGGCCATTTGTGGCCCAGCCTTTAAAAGATCAGGAGCTTTTCTGGAGCGCACTTCATGTGTGAACAGGGCAACGCTTAGCAGATATAATGTTGAAGATGTAAGCATCTTAACTAGGGCCTGACCGATATGGACTTTTGGGGCCGATACCGACATCGATATTGGGGAGAGAAAAACATCTGATACTGATATATCGGCCGATATCTTTCTCAGATCTATGTTTGATCTGTAGAGATGGATATAAATATACAAATGTATTGTGTTGGTCCCTCAAATGCAGTTATCAAACACTTGTGGAAAAGATATTTAATGTAGACAAGATGGTCACTCAACTGGAAAGTAACCGCGCATGTACATGCCTCACTGCTTGACAATCTGGAGAGTGATGATGCTTGTTGTAATCCATGTAGCGCCCTCTGCTGGTGAAAAAGAACAGCTAGTGTAATAGAATGAATGACTGGTGAATATATCTAGTAATATCGGCGCATATCTGCAATAAATCCAGCCGATACTGCTAGTCACTGGATAACTTAATATCGGCCGATAAATTGGTCAGGCTCTAATCTTAACGTCTGCTTTGCATTTTAAAACATAACATAGTAATGACAAGGCTCAAAACAATAAACACAACTTACATTAAAAACAACACAAGGTTCAGACATTTAAGGGGGTCTGTTGAAAACAGCGGCTGAGGGCCAGCAGTCAGAATTGGGCTTAGATAGAAACATGAAGCCATGTGTATTCTAGCCCGACTGAATGCTAAGCTAGCAGGATGTCTTTGGATGGCAAAATTGTCGCCGTTTTTTTAATTAAACTTTTGATAAATCGTGCAGCTGAACTGGCATAACCCGGCAGCTTTGTAATCTTGTTTAATTGCGGGGAGCGAGCGAGCGTCCCTGTTCTCTGATGTGGCATGACCTCGATGCACTTAAATTATTTCCCTTCTCGATCAGCTGGTTTGTACTTTGAGGGATGTGTCACCAGCTACTTTTATTGTCCACCTGTCTGTCACACCCACTTGGCACACTCATTGCGGTACTGATAGGTACGTTCGTCCTCATGCATATTCAAAAAGCAGCTTTTAGAGAGTGCGGTACGAGGTGGAAGGGTCGTTCAGTAAGCGCCATGTTTGAGACTCTTTCTGGGAAATAGAAATATTTGCCTCAAGACGACGCCAAGTCGCAAAAAGAACCTACACACACTGTGCAACGTATTCAGTGTATTAACAAATGTGTGTCGTCTTGTTCTGCTCTGACATCCAGAAAAACAAGTGACAGCACTTTTACAATGGACTCAACCTACTCTCTCTGACAGAAGACAATCAAATCCATAATGACCGACAGCTTCAGCAGTCATTTACTCCCCATTTAGGATTACCTTTTCAAAATCTTTTCAAAGCAACAAACAAACCCAGAGGCACAACCCGGAGCAGCCTGCTAACGTCACATCAGACATGAGAGGTGTTATTAACACTTCAGCACTCAACGTTCTTTCACAAGAGCCGAATACTTTGGATAGGCGCGGCCTTCCACCGAGACAATTTAGGATTTCTGAGCGGACTTCAATACACATATTATCCAGGGTGTTTCCTTGTTTTTATTAAATTAACATTAGCTGATGCTGTGTTTTTATTCATCATGGTTACGCATCACTGTGACCTGTATGCTGAATCTGATCGGCCCTCCTTGAAGGTACTCAGGTTTATAGAGCTCTTCTTGCTTGAGTTCCCTCTTATTCATGTTCATACCTCCAAAGAAGCAGGAGCCACTCTGCCTTGTGTTCATGTGATGTTTGTAAAATGTTTGATCCTCTCGGGAAAGAGCGTTTAGTTTTGCTGCCCTCTCTGCAGGGAACTTTGTCCAGAATGATTTCAAACTGATAGACAAAAAAACACGAGACCATCGGAGAGTGTCTGTGTTTAGAATTAGTAATCTGTGTTCACGACTTCTGCACTCTATCTGTGGACCAATGTGCACATTTTAATTGTTGTTTTCTCTTAACTTAGTGTTTGTGTTTGTTTCTTAATCATGTACAGTTTATAATGATGAGTGCTGCTGCTCTCTTGGCCAGCTCATCCTCCTGGAAGAGATCTTGATCTCAATAGGTTCAATACCTGGTTAAATAAAGGTTAAATTAACATTTTAGAAATCGGGGAGGGCTGTTTTAATGTCATTTCAGTCTTTTCAGGAGATTCTGAAGGGATCGGAGCCACTGAAATTAAAATGTGGGGTCTGAATTTAGACTTTTTTTTCTGGGATTAAAGTCAGAATAAAAAAACAACATTAAGTCCTTTTTTTCATTTCAGGCATGTTTTAGGAATTGTTGTCATTGCTGTGTTCATTTCTTTTTTTTGATATTAAAGTTGATTGTTTTTGTAAATGATGCTTTGTCTCCGTCTTAATTTGTTTTAATCTATTCATCTTTTTTTTGTAATATAATTTTAATTTAGAACATTAAAACATGAAATTTCACATTTTGAAATCTTAATAAGAACATAGGTTTTTTTTCTTCGCCTGTCATAAATATAGATTTTTTTTTTAAATCTGTTGACTTGAATATTCACTATCAGCTGATCCATTTCTCCCTTTATTATTTATTATTTACTCTTACGTACTTGTAACAATATTAGAACAGAAATCAGAATGTTTGTGGTTCTCGATAATGAATTAAAAAAATACTCCTTTACAAACACAGATTGTGTGTTTGTGTTCATTCAGAATATTTCCAAATGAAATGTAAAATTTTGAAAATCTAAATGAAAAATACATTTTTATGATTTCTTAGCTAAATATTCACTATTTACTAATATTGTTGTTATTGTTTTTATTTCCTCCCTATTTTTTTTTTATTTTCTCTTGTTGAGGAGCAGCTCGTACATATGAGAAAGAAACATAAATGAGGACAAGTTGACATACAAACATTAGATTACACAAGGAGTTAAAATATAAATAATACAAATAAAGCCTAAGGCGCGTTCAGTAATCTGAGCGTAGAGGGAATTAATGATTTGGAGTAGCAGTTAGTTTTACAGGCAGGCTTTTTTTGTCTTATTTATAATGTTCAAAGAAGGTTGAAGGAAATAGAGGGTTCATGTTTTGAGTGCACTTTTACTGAAAACCTTCAAGTTTGAAATAAGTCCTATATTCATTATTTGAGACTCTTTTTTTTCCTCACCATGATGCTACAAACAGAATCAAACTGAAGATCCTCTTCTTCACACTTTGAAGCAGATTCTACAGGAGGTCCATGTTTTTAGCTC